TATAAAAAATTCTTTTTTAAAGAACAAAAATATATAAAAAAAATAAATTACTAAATCTATAAAATCTTTGCAAATTTAATAATAATAATATATAATTTATTTAATCCTTTTTTAATCCAATTTTTTCTATATTTAAACACTTTATTTTTAAAAAAAAAAATTTTAAAATTCATTTCAATTCATCCAAAATTCAAAATATTTTTATTTATTTATTTATTTTATTAATATTTAATATAGTTATTTATATAGGTTCACCTCTAATCGAATTTGTATTACTATAATTTCTTCTTTTTTAATTATTTTTTCCATATGAAAAAAAAGTAAAGTTAAAAATAGAATAAAAATTATATCATTGCCACAATGAGAATTTTAATATTCCTTGTAGTTTTAATACTATCAATCACAATAAATAATGTGCATGGTAAAAATTTAAATAAAGCAACGAATCACCATCATAACAATAAAAATAATAAAAATAATAATAAAAATAATAATAATAATAATTATCAACAAGAACAAAAATATCAGCATCACCCACAAAAAACTTATGATTTAAATCAATTAAAACAACAAAAAGGTTTAATATTACAACAAGATGGCTTTAAACAAACACAACAACCACAACAGCAACAAGAGGAACAAACTCAAGAGGATTATTTTAATAACAAAAGAATTTTAGATGATAGCCTTATTGGTAGTGGTGAAACCTTTCCATTTTTAGATTGCGTTGGTAATTTAGAATATTTAGGTGTTGATAAAATACAACCATTTGGATTTAATCAAGGGCCATATTTATTAAATTGGGGTAAAAGCAACTCAAGTTTTCCAGAGGTTATTGTTGACCTATATGGTGAAAGCAGTCCATTGTTAGTAGGTAATCTCCATCCATACGAAAAATTAGAGAATGAAAATTCTCAATTCTTTGATGTTGCCGGTAAACAAGATATAAAATCCTTAATGCATTATTCATGTGGTAAAACTCCCTCAACAGTTTCATTTTCTTTCAAAGAAGCATTTGACAAGAAAAAAGAGTTTATTCTTTTAGTATTTGGTATGACTCCAAATGCTATTCTCAATGTTAAGGCATACGATTGGTCAGGTCCATTCTTACCAGGTGGAACTTGGCAAGAGTTGGATCGTGGTGTCATCCACCATGGCCAAAAAGATATTGTTAGAATGCAATCAAATTTAAATATTGGTCGTCCAAGTGCTAATCTTAAATGGACTGGTGGTTCAATTACAACCTACGATATCTTTTATCCATCAATATCATCTTCGAAAATTAGTAAAATTGAATTACTCCTTAGTCATACTTGCAGCTTACCAGAATGTAAAGGAATCACTCTTTTTTACTCTTTAATTGCTAATGACCTTTGCTTCAAACAACCCAAGTTACCACCATTAACTGAAAGACCTACCGCAACTCCTGCTACTGTTGATTCAAGTAGTTCCGAAAATATCGACCAATTTATTAAAACATTCCCTCCAACACAACCTCCAACCCAAACACCAACAACTGAGCCTGAATCAAGTGAAACAGACGAATCGAGTTCATCAGAAGAAATTATTATAACCCAATTACCCTCAAGACACAGAGGAACCAAACCACCAAAAAAAACTGAGCCACCAACTGAGCCACCAACTGAGCCACCAACCGAACCACCTACTGAACCACCAACTGAGCCACCAACCGAACCACCAACTGAGCCACCAACTGAACCACCAACCGAACCACCCTCAATTATAAACTCTCAAGTTCCAAATCCATTAAAACATGACGATGAAGATATAACTATCACTATAGTACCATTTAGACACAGAGCAACTAAACCACCTTACAGAAGCAGAAAACCACCACCACCACCAACTGAAACAATTCCTTCTGCTTGGAATTAATAATAATATTATATTTTTAATTTAAATAATAATTTATAACCAAAAAAAAAAAAAATTTTAGCACAGGTCAATCATCACCATCAAAAAAAAAAAAAAAAAAAAAAAAAAAAAAAAAAAAAAAATTAATAATAATAAAAAAATAAAAATTTATCCCAAATTTTCTCATTTACCAAAATAAAAAAAATAAAAAAGGAAAAAAAAAAAAAAAAAAAAAAAAAAGAAAAAAAAAAAAGGAAAAAAATAAATATTAATTTAAACTCTGTGATTTCAAATTCCCAGCTTTGGTCTTTTTATCCAAGTTATTTTAACAGTTGGAAATGAAAAATGAAAAATAATTTAAATTATAAAAAATAAAAATAAAAAAAATAATTATTTTAATTTTTTTAATATCTAAAAAAAAAAAAAAAAAATTATGCGAATTCGTTATAAATTTTCTTGATACTTTTATCATTATTTTATTAACTTTTTTTCATTCTTTAAACTTTTTTTTTTATTTTTTTTAATCATTTATTATTATGTATTTTAACAATAATACAACTATAAAATAGATTATTATATCTTTTAGATTGATTTTAAAAATATAGAAATATAAAATTATATTTATTATTAAATTTAATTTAAATCTTTGAACTAAATATAGTTTATTATATTAAAAAGCTTCATTGTGGAACCTACCATTTAATAATCAAATGTTTCAATTATAAATAACATATAATAAATAATTAATAATAAATAATATAAAACAATTCATTCACATCAACCAGTAGTAACGTTCAAATTATATATATTATAATATATTTTATATATCACAATCAAAAAAAGTATGTCTACTAATTAGTACTTTATATGTGTGTGTGGGTGTGTTTATAATAATTTTTTTTTATTTTTTTTATTTTTTTTATTTTTTTTGTTTTTTTTTTGTTTTTATATTTCTTCTTTTTTTCATTAATTTTTTTTTTTCATCATTCAATTTAGCTTTTTATTAAACAACAAATAAATAAAATAATAAATTAAAGATTATAAATTTTATAAAATGATCACCCAAAATAATCAAATAGATATACATTTTTTTAAATTTTTTTCCTTTAGTGTTTATTTTAAAATTTATTAGATAAATCTAATAAAATAAATTTTTATCTGTTATCCAAAGAACAAATAAATCATTGTGTTGTTTTATTTTTTTTTTATATATTTGGATAAATCATTGCCAACAATAATAACAATATCAAAACCAATAAAAACAATATGGATAATAAATAATAATAATAATCCTTTACAAAGTTAATAAATAGATAATGTGTTTTATATCAATAATTTTATTTTTTAAAGCTCATCAGCAATTAGGATATTAAATCAAATAAATATTAAACTTTTCAAGTGAAATATTATTATATTTTAAAATAATTAAATAAAAAAAAATAATTAAAAAAATCAAACATGAAAATATAAAAAACAAAAATCAAAATAAAATTAATTTATACAAATAATTAATTCATTATCATAATTGTACACTTTTTTTTTCTAACTTTTTTTTTTATATTTTTATTTATATTTTTTTCTTAAATAATAAATAATATTTAGTAATATTATTAATTTTATTTTTAATAATTATAAAAAGTGTGTAATCTAACAATATTTTATAGTTTTTCAAAAAAAAAATAAAAATAAAAAAAAATAAAAATAAAAACTAAATTAGGTTTTTTATAATAAAAATGCCAAATAAATCTCAACAACAACACGAAAAAGAAGAGAAGCAAGAAAATGAAGATGACAATATAGAAATTGATAAGATTAATCCAAAATCACCACCATATTACAACAGTGTTTATTCTAGTGACGAGGACAGTAATAGTAATAGTAATAATAATAATAATAGTAATAGTAATAAAAGTAATTCACCGATATTAAAAAATAATAAAAGTAATTCACCAATATTAAAAAATAATAAAACTAACTCAAGTCCACTTAGTATTGTGAATGATGAAATTTTTAATTTTGATGATAATAATAGCAGCAATAATGAATCGATAATAGATTTAAAAAGAAATAAAAGTTTAAGCGATTTGGAAATAAGCACAAGAATCAGAAAGAAATTTGAAGATTCATTAGAATATTTTAGCTCATTATTAGATATTATTACAAATACAAAATCGAAAAAATCAACTATGCTCCCATCTAACCAAAATTATATAAAAAGAAATAGCGCTGTATCAACACCAACTAATATATTTATTAATAATATTCAAAGATCAAAGGTCGGATCATCTCATGATAATTTATTAAATGCAAGTTTTACAAACGGTACAAGTAATTCCCAAAGCGATAGTGAAGGAAGAATTGAAGGTGATTTTCAAATTCCAATTGGTGGAACCATTAATAATAGTGATGTCGATAATAGTAGTGATAGTTTAGCACAACAGCAACCAAAAGAGCGAAAACAAGAGGAACCACAAGTACAATTTAATAACTCTCAAGATGCAGATGATGAAAATAGCTTTTATGATACAAGCACAACCGAAGAGGATGAAGATTTATATCATGACAATGGAAAATTAAAAACAATCTCTCAAATGAAATCAGAGTTGGAGGAATTCTTTTTACATCTCAGTTTTAAAAAGCGTGAAGAGATTTCTTTTTCATTATCAGTTGAACAAGATCCATTGGTTATTGATCAAACTATCAGTCAATATTTTGAAATGTTTGTTAATGAATGTTATAATGGTATAGTATTATTTTGTTATTTATTTTTAATTTAAAATTTTTTTTTTGATTACTAATATTTTTTTTTTTTTTAGAAATAATAAATAAATTTCAGTTTCAATTTCCTAATATTATAGATACAATTAAAATAATGAGAAGTTCACCAGAAATTAAAATAGCAGGCAATCCAAACGAAAATTACATTCCATTACATAAATCCTCACCATCATATAAAAAATTTTCAATTGTAGATTTCACAAAGAAAAAATTATTATCAGGCATAAACTCATCAAACGTGGGTAGTTTCTTTTTATCAATGATTCCAATTGTAGATTGGATACCCAAATATCAACTAAAGTATATTAAAGATGATGTTATTTCATCTCTTACTGTCGGCTTTATGATTGTTCCACAAGCTATGGCATACGCAATTTTAGCTGGTCTACAACCCATTTATGGTTTATATGCTGCTTTCATATCTCCAATTGTTTATGGTATCTTTGGTACCTCAAATGAAATTTCAGTTGGTCCAGTCGCTATGGTTTCTTTATTAATTCCAAATGTTGTTAGCGTTCCATCTACCGATCCAGAGTATGTGGTCGAGGTCTTGTGTCTATCGTTATTATCCGGGTTAATATTAATTGTAATTGGCTTCTTAAGAGCTGGCTTCATCATTGAAAATCTTCTTAGTAATCCAATTTTAATGGGCTTCATCCAAGCTGCCTCACTTTTAATTATTTGTAGTCAAATTAAAAACCTAACACAAATTCCAATACCAAGTACCGTTTCAAGTTTACCAGAGTTTATTCAAGCCATTGCAGAACATTACAAATCGATTCATGGTTGGACTGTGTTGTTTGGTTTGTGCGCTTTAGTGGTTCTAGTATCATTCCGTTTTATAAATAATAGAATTAAATACAAAGTACCAATTGCTGTTATTATCTTGTTTTTATCAACTTTAATATCATACTTAATCAATTCAAAATCGCATGGTATTAAAATTATTGACACTATTCCATCAGGTTTACCAGTTCCAAGAGGAATAACCCTAAATATAGACAAAGTTGGTAAATTAATTGTTGGTGCATTCATTATTTCAATTTTAGGTTTTGTAGAATCGATTTCAATTGCAAAGAAATTTTCATCGATTAGAAAGTATTCAATTGAGCCAAGCCAAGAATTAATTGCGCTAGGTATGTGTAACTTTGTTGGATCATTTTTCCAAGCATGTCCATCAACTGGTTCATTCTCAAGAACAGCAGTAAACTTTCAAACCAATTCAAGATCAAGAGTTTGTTCTATTGCATCGGGTGTAATTGTAGCATGTGTATTATTATTTTTAACACCAATTATCAAACATACTCCATTATGTATTCTTTCGGCCATTGTCATCGCAGCAGCCATCACATTATTCGAATTTAAAGAAAGCTATGAACTATTAAAAGGTGGTGAAATATTGGGTTTTATTCAATTGGTTTTCGTATTTTTAATAACTTTAATGTTCGGTTCAGAGGTTGGTATAGTTGTAGCATTTTGTGTATCCATTTTACAAATTATCTATTTCTCAGCTAGACCACAGTTGGTTAGTTTGGGTAGATTACCAGGTACTTTGGTATTTAGAAACATTAAACATTATTCAGGCGCAATTGTAAATAAAAGAGTTAAAATCTTAAGATATGACTCTCGTTTAACCTATTATACAGTCAATCATTTCAGAGACACCCTTTATAAAATGAATAGCGAAGAAGGTTTCGAAGCGGTCCATACCATTATCTTTGATATGGTAAATGTTAGTTCAATTGATTCAACAGCCATCGATGTACTAAACGAAATCATAGATTACTACAAAGCTATAAATATTCAAATATTATGGTCCGATATTAGACCTTTTGTTCAACAAGTTATGCATAGATCAGGTTTCTTAAAAAGATTAGATCATCACCATTTCTTTACTTCAACACATAAAGCTGTAGAATATGCATTATCAAGTTAATCCATATAAACTCTTTTTTTTTTTTATTTTAAAAATAAAATAATAAAAAAAAAATAACAAACAAAATAAAATATCTATTTATTTTTTTAATTTAAAAATAGTTTATTGTTATATACTCACAAAGGATAGGGTCCAATTTATTCTTTAACCTATTTTAGTTTAAATTTACAAAAGCAGAAATTTTAATATTTTTTTTTTATTAATTTGGACAAATAACCATATTTAAAATTTTAATATTTATTTTGTAAAAGTATATTATATATTTATATGTATGTATCTATTGTATATAAAAAAAAAAAATTTTCACCAATTTTTTTTTTTTTTTTTTTATTAATTTTTTCACCAGTTTCACCACCCCACCACAACCACTTCGCAACTTTTTCATTTAATATAATCATCGATTATTTTAATATTTTAAACTTTCAGACTACAAATTCACCTTTGCATAACCAAAATTGATAACAAAAATTGCAATAATAGTTGCTAAAAAAAAAAAAATAAAAAAAATAGAAAAAAAAAAAAATAAAAAAATAAAAATTTAACTGATTTATTTATTTTTTTAATTTTTTTTAATTTTTTTTCACCAATCTCCACCACATTCGCCAATATCCAATTTAAAAAATAAAAAAAAGTTTATCATTTTTTTTTTTAACCACACCAAACAATATCTACCCATATTTTTTTTTTATTTTGTTATTATTGTTATATAAACTTTTAACCAATAATATACAAGTATTTTCCCCATTATCACCAACCAATTAAAAGTTTCCCCAAACACACCAACGTGGTATGTTTTATATTTTTCACCAAACTCCACACAATAATCTATATCAAAACAGTTTTATTTTTTTTTAATTATTATTTATTTTTTTTTTAATTTTTTTTTCCCCACCATTCACCTTTTTTTTCTATATAAAAGTAATTTTACATTGTTTTGTTTTATATTAAAATGTTAAATAGTAATAATATTAATAATTGTGATATTGAAATGGATAATAATACAACATCAAACTATTATAATAATAATAATAATGGTGATAGTGATAATAGTTCAACTGAAGGAGCAGAAAATAATTTAATAAATCAAAAGGAATCAAATAATGTGGTTTTAAACATGTCCTCAAATATAGATAAAGAATTGGGTATTTCAAAAAGATTTGACGAAACAATGTTTTATTTTAATCGTTTATTAGATATAATAACAAATGAAGGTTCCAATAGTTTAAATCAATCTATAAACAGTAATATATTAATTTCAAGCGGCATATATAATAAATATAATGATTTCAATGGTCAATCCATTCAAAACTATATTGACGATAGTTTTTTAAAAGAAGGAAGCGAAACCAACAGTGTAGACGAAGAAATGTTAACAACAAGTGTAAAAACCCCATTAAGAAACGGTTCAGAATATAATGATGACAGTTTAAACAATAACAAAGATATATTTAATATAATTTCAAAATTAAAAAGTGAAACCAAAGAAAGTTTAGTTCATTTACGTTTTAAAGCAAATAAGGATTTAGAAATTTCAATATCAAAAGAAAAGAAACCAATAATAATAGATCAAATAATAGAGTTTCATTTTGAAAATTTTACAAATAATTGTTATGATGGTTAGTATATTTTTAAATATTTTTTTTTTTGGTAATATATTAATTTTTTTTTATATAATAGAAATAATAAATAGATTTCAATTTCAATTCCCAAATGTTATAGATACAATTAAAATAATGAGAACTATACCCGGAGCAAAGTCTCGTGCTGAACCTGCTCCCGAAGAAGAAGATAAAACTGCAAAGTTTACATCAAATCCAGAAAATTTTACAAAGTTTTCGATGAAAGAGTTTGCAACAGATTCTATTAAAAGTTTTAAAATTAAAATGGTTTTAAATTATTTATTTTCAATGATTCAAATTACTAAATGGGTACCAAAATATCAATTAAAGTATATTAAAGATGATGTTATTTCATCTCTTACTGTTGGTTTTATGATTGTTCCACAGGCTATGGCCTATGCAATTCTTGGTGGTATGCCTCCAATTTACGGTTTATATGCTGCTTTTATTGCTCCTGTAATGTATGGAATTTTCGGAACATCAAACGAAGTGTCAGTTGGTCCAGTTGCTATGGTTTCTTTATTAATCCCTAGTATTATTTCGGTGCCATCTACCGATCCAGAGTTTCTCTTAGAGGTCTTCTGCCTATCTTTATTATCGGGCATAGTACTAATTGTAATTGGTGTATTAAGAGCTGGCTTTATCATTGAAAATCTTCTTAGTAATCCAATTTTAATGGGCTTCATCCAAGCCGCTGCTTTTTTAATTGTTTGCAGTCAAATTAAAAATATTACCAAAATTCCAATACCAAGCAATGTATCAAGTTTACCAGAGTTTGTAGAGGCCATTGCAGAACATTACAAATCGATTCATGGGTGGACTGTATTATTTGGCGTAAGTGGTCTTGTATTTTTAATTGTGTTCCGTATAATAAATAATAAAATCAAATTTAAAGTTCCAATTGCAGTTATTATTTTAATGCTCTCAACTTTAATATCATACTTAATCAATTCAAAATCACACGGTATTAGCATAATTGGTGATGTTCCATCTGGTCTCCCATCATTTAAAGTTCCATCTTTAACTTTTGAAAGAGCAGGTCGTTTGATTGTTGGTGCATTCATTATTTCAATTTTAGGTTTTGTAGAATCGATTTCAATTGCAAAGAAATTCTCATCGATTAGAAAGTACTCAATTGACCCAAGCCAAGAATTAATTGCGCTAGGTATGTGTAACTTTGTTGGATCATTTTTCCAAGCATGTCCATCAACTGGTTCATTCTCAAGAACAGCAGTAAACTTTCAAACCAATTCAAGATCAAGAGTTTGTTCTATTGCATCGGGTGTAATTGTAGCATGTGTGTTATTATTTTTAACACCAATTATCAAACATACTCCATTATGTATTCTTTCGGCCATTGTCATCGCAGCAGCCATCACATTATTCGAATTTAAAGAAAGCTATGAACTATTAAAGAGTGGTGAATTATTAGGTTTTATTCAGCTAATATTCATTTTTGTTTTAACACTTTTATTTGGTTCAGAGATCGGTATAATAGTTGCCTTTTGCGTATCAATTCTTCAAATTATTTCACACTCTGCAAGACCAAAGCTTGTTATTTTAGGAAGATTACCAGGTAGTATTTTATTCCGTAATATCAAACATTTCCCAGAGGCAATTACAAATAGCAGTATTAAGATCTTAAGATATGACTCACGTTTAACCTATTATACAGTCAATCATTTCAGAGATGCCCTCTATGAACTAAAAAAAGAAGACCCAGAATTCGAATTGGTTCAAACAATTATTTTCGATATGGCAAATGTTAGTTCGATTGACTCCACCGCCATCGACGTATTGCACGAAATTGTAGATTTTTATAAATCTCAAAATATTAAAATATTATGGTCTGATATTAGACCACACATCCAGAAAGTAATGTTTAGATGTGGTTTCCTAAAAAGTATGGATAATCATCATTTCTTCACAACAACTCATAAAGCTCTAGAATACGCATTATCAGAGCTACAAGAATAAAAACACAAATAAATATATTTATAATTTAAAAAAATTTAAAACAATTTATTTTATTTATTTTTTTAGGTTTTATTATTGTAATAATGTTTAAGAATATCAATCATTGTCTTGGAAACTGCATCGTCTAAAGATATTGTTTTTTCTCTAACATAAATAATACATCCTTCTCTTTTGAAAATTTTAGAATTATTTGAAACATCTTGTGGTGAAAAATTATCATATCTATTATTTGGTACCAAAATTGTTTTTTTGATAGAAAAACAAAAGTTGAAATATGTTAATGAATGAAATTGTTTGTCAGTATTATTAATATCATATATAGTTGGACTTGGATCCATTTTATCTAAATCTTTACTTCTCTCAAAATTCATTTTTTTGTTTGATAAAATTGAAAATATTTCTTTAGAAATTGAAATTGAGCTGTCTTTTGGGTCATCTTGATAAACTGAATTTATTAAAATATCAATATTTGGAATTTTACTTAAAATTAATTGATTAGTGTTATTACTGTGGGTATTTTTATTATTACTATTATTATTATGGATGTAATTAAATTTATGAGATGGAATAATTTTTAATCTTTCTAAAATATCTTCATCAAAATCACCATCAAAAACTTTTTTTTCATATAACGACTCTACTTGCTCGTAAGATTGGTTTGATGTTGATAAAACTGTAACTTTATAACCTAAAGATAAAAATTCCAATGATAGTTGATATCCATAAAGTTCATAATCATATTTAGATGGCGGAGAATTTGTATTGATTTCATCATCTTCAGAATCGGTTGTGTACTCTAATTGTTCATGAGAAAATCTATCCCCATCACCATAGCCCTTAATAATTATAGCTACATGTTTTTGATTTGCTGGATTTGATTTTAGTGATTCTTCTTTTAACAAACAATTTTTACACCAATTGGTTGGAATGTTTTTATATCCGATTTGGTTTCTGCAAATTGAACAGAAATTTTGAACATAGATACCATAGTCATCAAACGCTTTAAAGCCCAAAGTAGAGAGCGGGAACATTATAAAAGTTGACTCTAGGCTGTATGATAACATAACTAAATTAGAATTCCACATCCCTTTTATTAATTTATCAGAGTGTGGCCAATGTGGGAGTGGTCTAAATCTATAAAATTTTTTCAATTTAACTCTTTGATTTGGGTTCATATAAGATTCCCAATTTAGTTTTGCTCTAAAGAAATGTTCTCTATTTGCACCACACTCTTTTTGGAATCTGTAAAAATAATTGTTTGGTATATTATTTGGATTGTAATCCCAACGGATAGTCTTGAAACCTGGGTATGTATTTGAGATTTTAGTATTTTCTGGCTTTTGATGATTATAATCTGGAACAAGGTTACATCTAGAGTTGAATGAGTGGATAGCACCTTTGGACATATATACATTATCACCGTCATATACCGCAGTTAAACAATCTAATTCAGTAAATGAGTTCTTGGCAACAAGTTGTTCAATAGAGTTACAGACTTGTAATTTCATTCTGATAGAGTGATATGGATGCTTGTGGTATAGTATAATTGAATCTTCAGTTTGAATATAACAAGAATCAGAATCTTGGATTCTAATTTTCATATTTGATTTTAATTGATCAAATACTTTAAGTATTCTATTCGAAATAGCAACTTCATTTTGTTGTTTATTTTCATCAATAAGTGTAAGTTCAATATTATGGCATCTATAATATTGTGATAATGAACTGTGATATCTGCAATAGACCAACTCTTTAAACATGGATTTACTTTCAACCAACTCCATAATCTGCTTGATGATGATTTTTGGTAATTTGGTCTTTGTGAACAATCTATTTACTTTAACTAACCAAATATATTGCTGTTTAATATCTGTAGGTAAATTATCTATACATGCTGCCACTGAAGAGCCACTAACTGCAACTTTAATACCATTATCTTCCCAATCAAAGTCGTAATCGAAAATTTCATGTGTATAAATCGAAAAACATTTCTTGAATAATAATAATGTCGGTGAGATTGAATAACAACCATTTGAAGCAGGGCATGGGGAAAGATATGAATTTGAAAATTTTGAAAGTTTAAACTGTTTTGATTTTTTTGGTTCTGGTATTGCAACTAATTCATCTACTGTAAACCCCAAATTTTCTTCCTCATCTAAGTATCCATCATCATTATTTAGTAAATCACCAACATAACCATAATAATCATAAAAGTTGGCTTCTTCTGATTTTTGGTTATTATTATTGATATTACCAAATAAACCGGTATTAATTCCCTCTTCCTCCTCTTCCTCCTCTTCCTCTTCCTCTTCCTCCTCTTCCTCTTCCTCTTCCTCCTCTTCCTCTTCCTCTTCCTCTTCCTCTTCCTCTTCTTCCTCTTCCTCTTCCTCTTCTTCATCTTCTTCATCTTCTTCATCTAATTCTATTTCTGATTCTGATTCTTGGTCGGAACCAAATAGTTCAGAATCTGATTCTAATTTATTTTCAGCAAAATGGATTTGATCATCACTTATTTCGGTTTGATACAACAAATCTTCAGGAGATAATTTGTTTTTTGGATTTGATTTGAATAATTCTTTATTACAGAATTTCTCTTGATTTGGATTACTACCAACATTATAAACTTTAATTATATTATCTTTGATAATTTGATCCGACTCTTGATTTTTTACTTTAATATCATTTGAATGGTCATAGTATCCGTAGTGTCCTTTTGGTAGAAAAAATCCTATTTCTTCATCATCATCTGAATCTTCACTGTAACTATCTTCAATATTGTTTTCGAGTTGGTACTTTTCTTTACTTTTATTTGATGTGAAATCATTTGGTAGGGATAGCATATATGACTTGGTTGGGTCAACATAACAATATTTTAATTTTAATGTTTGCTCTGCCATTATATTATAATAAACTGAATTAATTGTTTGCTCTAATAAATAACTGATATTGCTAATTAATGGTTCTAATGAGCAGTAGTGTTTATTTTTGTTTGATTTAATAAAATTGTAAAATCTATTAAACTTTTCTACCAATTCTAAACCATTACCAAATTTGATTTTTTCATTTTCGATACCCAATAAACTTAATGTCAAAATATAAACATATCTTGTATTAACATTCTCTTTATTTCCAAATAAACCTTTCGTTTTTATAAACTCTATATGGTTTAGGTGCGATAGTAAATAAATAAATAAAACTATTTCATTTTGGTCCAATTCCAAACTTTTTCTTTGATGTTTTTCCTTATTTAAAATTTTATTTATTGAATGTAAAAATGTATTGACACTTGAAATAAAATACTTTTTCAATCTTTTATTTGAATCTATGTTGTAGGTAATTTGTGTTTCGGTGATTCTATCGATGTTTGTGATTGTATTTGTATTTTCATCAAATAATGCAGTTTCGACAGTTTTCGTTATTATAGTTTTTGGAATTGTTAATAACTCTTGTTTTAATTTATAAAATTTTGAAATCAAATATTTTGCAATTTTGTTTTCTTGGATAGTATCGATAGAATTGGTATAGCGTTTAGCGTTTTCTTCTTCTATAGAAGACAATATCATTTGAAATTCATTTTGATCTTCGTTGTGAAGTTGTTCATCATTCTCTTCAACCAAGTTTCTTTTTTTATTACTTTCATCAATACCTTCATCAATACTTTCAAATTTCCTTTTCTGGTTAACAGTATCTTTGATTTCATTTTCTCCCTGTCCCCTTTCTTCATGGATTTCTTCGGATTCTTCAGACTCCACTTCACTGGAACTTTCTTCAGATTCATCTTCCTCTTCAGATTCAGACTCCTCTTCAGATTCATCCTCAGACTCTTCTTCAGATTCTTCTTGAGATTCTTCAGATTCATCTTCAGACTCTTCCTCTTTTTTAGATTTATTTAAACAGTTAAACAATACATTAGAATTGTTTTTATCCATAATGATACTAAATATTGGGTGGAGCAGTCGAGGATAGGTGTCTGATGGGCTAATATAGGTAATATAGTTAGCTTTCACAATAATTGGTATATCATTTAATCTGGCAATTGAAATAATTTGATAAAAACCTTTTTTTAAAAACGTAGAACTATATAATCTGTACAAATATGTTGAATCTGCAACATTTACCATATACAGTTTGTTGTTGTCAAATCTTTTGAGAAAAAAAATTTTGTTAGTAAATTACCTAAAGATTTTTTTTAATGTACCTGGTCTTACCTATTTGTTATTGAAACACAATCAATAACTTTAACATATATTTTAAAATTCTTTACGTTTCTTATGTTGCCATCTTTGGGTTTGCATGTATTAATATACAATGGTAATAGTTTTTCTTGATTTTCTTCTATAAAAGCTAAAACTTTTTCAAGTGATGTCATTATATTCATTATTGTAATAACTTTTATTTATTATTTAATAAACACACATGGGGGAAAATAAAAAAAAATAAAAAAAAAAAGCTTTTTTTAAAAAATAAAAAAAAAAAAAAAAAATTAAACAAAAAAAAAAAAAAAATTTTTAATTCCAAACAAATTTTTATTTTTAGTTTTTTTTTATTTTCCCCCAGATGCATAAATTAATTAAAAAAAATAAAAAAAATAATATTAAACAAATAAAAAGAGTTTCTTTTTCTTTTTTTTTTTTTAGAAATATAAATATAATATATATAAAGTATTTCAAAAAAAAAACTAAAAAAAAAAAAAAAAAATTTTTTTTTATTTTTTTTTTTTATTTATTTATTTATTATTTTAAAGAAGTATAAATTCTATACTATTAATTAATCTAAACTTATCTAAACTTTATCTAATATTAATGTGTTGGTTGCTGAGATTTCACTTTGAAATTTGATTTAAACCAAACATCATTTAGAGTATCTTTGAAGGAACGAACATTGTATATTTTGAAAATAGCACTATAATAACAATTTGTTATTATTAGTATTATCTTTCAAAGCAGGTTTGGACGACGGATACTTGGCAAATGTCAGCGATATTGATGGTGGTAGCGGTGTGGTTGTGGTAGTGTTGGTCATTTTAGTATCTATCTTTTAACTTGCACTAAAAATTTGACAATGGTTTATAACATCGGTACTCTATTTTGGGTTATCTTTGAAATAACAATTTGTTATTTTTTTTTCTAATAATTTGAAGGTGATGAATGATATTGAGTTGATGAAAATATAATAACAATACATTATGCTCTCTTCAACAACTATACAAAAATAACATTCATTTATATAATGAATAAACAAAGTATTTACCAATATGGTAAAATTAAAATGTTGATTATTAAAAAAAAATATAAAAAAAAAAAATAAAAATTTATATATATAATGTGGGCTTATAAAAATGTGGTGTGTGGCAGTGTTTTTATTATTAATAGTTATGGTCTATTAATATCATTTTTATAATTATTTTACCATCATGTATTGAATAACGGTAAGGAAAACCCCAAAGATATAAATTTTTATTTGTGATGATACGAGTATATATGTTTGATTATTACTATTACTATATATAATATTAATAATGTTTTTTTTTTTTTTTCAACAACAAAAGTATTTATAGTTTTTTTTTTTTTTTCAATTTTTTCATTTTTTCATTTTTTCATTTTTTTAATAAAAATGAATTTTGAATAACCCAAGTAAAATAAAAAGTTTTATTTGTAAAAATAAAAAAAAAAATAAAAAAAAAAAAAAATTTCAAACAGAAAACAAAACAATTCATTTTTGGTGTTTTACTTGCATTGAATCCCAAATAAAAGAAAAACAATTTTAAAAAATTTCATATCTGGTTTAATAAATTATTTTGGTTTCACAAAATGAAAAGCAGTAATTCTCATATAATTGTGATTCTCTGGTTAAAACTGGTTTTTTTTTTTCGAAAAATTTTTTTTTATTTTTTTTTTTTTTATTTTTATTTTCTTAAAAAAAAACAATATAATATAAAGATCTGGTTCTTTTAACTATATATAAGAAAAATAAAATTATAATTTTATTATTCAAGTAACAAAGTTTACTTTTAAATTAAAACTAATTTTTTTATAAATTAATTATTATTATAAAAAAAAAAAAAAAAAAACTCCAGTGTTAATTATATTTATGATTAATTAATATACTCTGTTTAATTATTATTAATTATTAATAGCACTATTATTTTTACTTTATTACTCCCTCCATTTTTAATATAGAGGCATTAAAAAAGCAAATGAATAAAAACAAATTATTATTAAATAGTATTATCTTCTTTTATTTTCTATCATTGGTTATAATTGATAGAAATCTTTTTAACTTTTTTTTTTTATGTATTTTTTTTTTTTTTTTTTTTATTTTATATTTTTTTATCTATTTTTTTTATCACTATAAAATCGAATAAAATTTCCTATTTTGGTAATAAATAAATGAAACTATTAATAAAACATATTTTTATATTTTTTATATTTTTACAATTATTTATAAATTCTTCTGCAATTGTAATTAAAAATAAAAAAAATAAAAAAAATAAAAAAAAAATCTAATGATTTATTTTATATCTTTATATAGATGTGCAGAAATGATAATGATTGTAAAAAAATGAATATGCATTGTGTGTCCAGTGGTGTAGTATTATCAGGAACTTGTAAGAAACCTGCTAACCAGGGACAGTTTTGTTCAAATAAAATAAAAAAAAATGTTTATAGTTTGCATCCTCCATGTAAAAGTCATTTAATATGCAAAAATGGAGGTTTTGGTGTATTTAAATGCCAGTAATTATAAAAAAGAAATAAAAACTAACCAAAAAAAAAAGATTTTAGAAAATAAAACAAAGAATGTTAAATTGTTTTATAATTCATTTATTAATTTATTTATTTATTTATTTATTATGCATTGACTCATTCATTAATTAATATTATTAACTAATGGGTGGGGGCTTCTGCAAATAAAAAGTTGTCAATTGTAATAATAGATAAATTTGTCTGAGAAATTTAGAAATGACAGTCATCAAATTGTTTTGAAGTATAGCCTATGTGGCTTGGGGTTCTAACATTGTTATGGGGGCACCTGCAAAGATGTTGCTATAATGACTCTAACATTTTATATTATTTTAAATAAAATATCTATCTGTATTCCTTTTTTTACTAGTATTATTTTAATTGTTTTGATGCGTCACTTAATTTATATACGTGGTTAAAATAAAATAAAATAAAATTTGAGTATGATGACGATGATTCATATTTTAAAACTAAAAATATAAATTTAATTTTGGTGACGGATATAAAAAAAATAAAAATAAAAAAAAAATAAAATTTTAAAAAAAATGAAAAAATAAAAAAAATAAAAAAATTTGTTTTTTTTATTTTCATTTATTTTAATTATTTTACTAAAACAAATACAACACTAAAAAATGTCATTAATTCCAAATACTATTTGCTTATTTGATGTCGATGGTACCTTAACTAAACCAAGAAATGTATGTTTTATAAAATTTTAGTAAAAAACAATATATACAGAGAATAAATTCGCTAATCTTGAAAAAAAAAAAATAATAATTTGTTGTTATTATTGTTATTATTGTTATTATTTAATTATTTATATAGTCTATTACACCAGAATTTAAACAATTTCTTTCAAATTTAAGAACCAAAGTCGAATTAGGTGTTGTTGGTGGTTCAGATCTCATTAAAATCAAAGAACAACTTGGTGAAGGTTGTGTTAATGACTTCCATTATGTTTTTGCTGAAAATGGTTTATTAGCTTTTAAAGATGGCTCATTACTTGCTACCCAAGTAAGTTTTTTTTAGATTTTATTAAATTCTATTTTTAAAAATTGTACTAATCAAATCGAAATTTTTGATTTTTTAATTTTTTTAATTTTTGTTTTTTTTTTTTAGAGCATCAAAAAATTCTTAGGTGAAGATAAAATTAAACAATTTGTTAATTTTGTTTTACATTATATTGCCGATCTTGATATTCCAATTAAAAGAGGTACTTTTGTCGAATTTAGAAATGGTATGATTAATATTTCACCAATTGGTAGAAATTGTTCACAAGAAGAACGTGATGATTTCGAAAAATTCGATTTAGTAAGTAATATTTTAAATATAGATAAAACACAAAAAACAAATAAATTTTTAAGTTACAGTAATATTAACTATTTGTATTATAGAAAAATAAAATCAGAGAAACTATGGTATCAGTATTAAAAGAAAAATTCGCAGATTTTGGATTACAATATTCAATTGGTGGTCAAATTAGTTTTGATGTTTTCCCAGTTGGTTGGGATAAAACCTATTGTCTTGGCCATTTACCAGAAGAAAAATACAAAACTATTTATTTCTTTGGTGATAAAACTTTCAAAGGTGGAAACGATTACGAAATTGCCAACGATAAAAGAATTACAAAATCATTCACTGTTACTTCACCAGTTGACACTCAAAACTTTTTAAATGAATTATTTTATAAAAACTAAATAATAAAACCAATAATATTATTAAAAAACTAAAAATAAAAAAATAAAAATTATCTTTTTAGAAAAAAAAAAAAAACAAAAAAAAAACAAAAAGAAATATAAAAGATACCACTTTATGGTTATCATGTTTATATTTCTTTATTTTCTTTTTATATATTTTTATTATTTATATTATATAAAACATTTCTTATGAACGATGATGAAATTTTTTTATTTGAATGGTAATTTTGAACTGATTTAACAACGTTAATCGATAGCTGAGATAGATTTCTTTGGGATCTAATCAAATTGATCTTGTTTGCTGATTCTATGGACTCTTCAATTACCAATAATGCGTCAACTTGATCATAATATGTCATTGGGCAAAAGTTAATATCTGAACAACGTGTATTTGATATAATTTCGATATCGCTGTGATTTGGATTAAAAATATTTAAAAACTCTTTTACTGATAAAATTCTTTTCTCCACTTGTTGCATAAATTCATCATTCTTTTTATCTGTATAGTTAAATAATAAATTTTTAATTTCCCCAATACTTGATTTTGAAGATTGTAATTTATATTCACTTGTATTATTATTATTACTAAATGGACATTTATTATTTAAATTTGGTAATGAATGACTTTTAAAAGTTGTTTTTTCACACATTCTAGGTGATGATGGGGGTGTTATATCTTCTTCTTGTTGTTGCTGTTGTTGCTGTTGTTGTTGTTGTTGTTGTTGTTGCTGTTGCTGTTGTTGTTGTTGTTGTTGTTGTATTATTGTAGATTTTTGTAATACTGAAACAAAAAATTTATTTTTAGCCAACAAAGAACCTAATGATAAAAAAAACTTATGGCCACAATGAAGATAGTCAAAAAACCCACCACAATATACAGAGTTATATTTTTGTAATTTTAAAATTGCATTATTATTGAAACTGGGCACAAACTCTGTATCTTGGATATTATTACTATTTTTGATCTCATAATAATTTAATTTTAAATTTAATGTTGATTTTATAATAAATGAATTTAATGATTTTGAAGAATTTGATAAAAAAACATAGTTTGTAGGTATTTTGCTTATTATTAAATTTATTGAATTTATCAAAGATTCACTTCTATTATTACTATTGTTACTATTATTATTATTATTATTATTATTGTTATTGCAATATAATTCTGGGATTAATATGTTAACATCAATTCTATATTTTAAAAAATGATCTAAAATTAACTTGTTTATGAAACTATAATATTTTTCTAAAATATTACTTATTGATTCGATCTATATAATATATAAATTATTGTTAGGATTAATACATTAAATGAAATTTTTTTAATAAAATCAAATTACCGAATCGAAATTTGAATTGATTAGGACGACATATAATTTTGATTCATTTTTATCTAAAATATTAAATATATCTGAGATTATTGAAAAATTTATTTCACTCGGTTTATTATAATCTAAAAATATAATATTGTTATAAAAATTGTTATTGCTGTTATTACACATTTTAAAGTTTTGCTAGAAATATCTTTTTTTTTTTTTTATGATTATTAAAATTTAAAATATAAAAATTTTTAAAAAAAAAATAAAATTAAAAAATAATAATTATTTTTCAAAAAAAATTATTAAAATTATAATTTTAGAATATTCTAAATATTATCTCATAATTTTCTTAGTTTGTGTGTTTAATTTAAAAAATAACCCCACACATAAATATCGAGTCTTGTTTATTTACATATAGTTTTTTATTTATTATTATTATTAATATTATAATATTGTTATTATTATTACTATTTTTTGTTTTGATTAAATTATAATTTATAATTTTAATTTTGTTAAAATATTATCTAAACTTAATTTTGGATAAACTGAACCGATTAAAGAAATAACGATTAATGAAAGAATTGGTAAAAATTTGTTATCGTCTTTTTCAAAAATTGGACCGGAATCAGATTTATGGTAAAGTACAGTCATGGTGCCCATAAAACCTTGATTTAAAGTATCTGGTTCATATTCTGTTAAGTATAAAATTAAAGCCCTATTAAATTAAAAATATAATAATAAAATGTGTTAGTGATATTTTTTTGTCATAAACTATAGTAATAAATCAATAAACTATGACATACAAAGTGACAGCTGCAAAAATTCTGAAACCTTTTGGAGTTGTGGTTGATAAAGTTTGGGGTATAATTTTTCTTTTTACCATGCCTTGTATAATTCCAATAAGTGCTCTTGCAAAAAGATATAATACAATTTGATTGTTAACACTACCACTTACAGATTTACTATCACCAAATGCAATATAACCGCCAACAAAACCTGCAACTAAACTATCAATTCCACCTTTAATTCCAAAATGTCTAAATACACAACAAATTGCTTTATAAATACCAACAAACAATCCAAGATTTTTACCATGAAAAAACATCTGTTTAATTACAAATTTCACCCTACTGGCTGATCTTTATTTTTAAAACAACAAAAAAATAAAATAAATTAGAAAAATGTTATTTTTAATCGAAAATAAAAACAAATATTACATACTTTGCATCTCTAAACAATGATGCATATATAACTGCTTGGAAAATATAGGGTATTCTAATTCTAACACCTGTTAAAACACCATTTCTAAAACCTCTAATAACCTATTAAAAAACCAAAAAATAAAAAATAACCATTAATGTATTGTTTTTTTGGTATTAGATTATTTATTTAATACCTACAGATAAAATACAATCTTTATAATGACCAATTCTATGTTTGTTTATGTGATGATAAACATGCTCTGCTGCAACTATAGTACCACTTGTTGGAATTGGCTCCATATTTTTCGTTGATTTAAATTTTATATTATAAAAAAAAAAGATTGAAACTCCCTATATTTTAAAACATATGTTTTTGCATAAGTATATGAGAGTCGGTTCGTTTTATTTTTTATATGGAGAAAATTAAATAAAAAAAATTTTAAATAATATTAAAAAAAAAAAATTTAAAAAAAAGATTTTTTTTTTTTTTTTTTTTTGATTTTTTTTTTTTTTTTTTTAAATTTTTTATTATAATTTTATTGAATGACAACATCCAATGACCATATTTAGATATATTTTAAACCAATGTAATAAAATAACTCTTTTTTGAAAATAAAATATATGATTGGTTTAATTAGTTAATTTCTCTGACCAATCTACCACCCCACATATATGATTTAGATTGCGAACTAAAATAAAAAAAATAAAAAAATAATTAATAATTTTAATTATCAGATTCAACAATTATTATAAAAATAATAAAAATGGATCACATATTAAATATATAGTAATGGTTATTAAACTTACCTAAAATAAGCATTTCTGTAGGCAATACGAACATTAAAAGTATTGTAAAAGAAACTACCACCTCTTAATACACCAAAATCACAAAGACCATTATTTTCTTCACCCCATCTAGAACCGTCACTTGGAGCTCCATCAAAGCTATAGTGCCAGCAATCATCTACCCATTCTCTTGCATTTGCCAATAAATCATAGATACCAAATTGGTTTGGTAAATATGAACCTACTGGTGCAGTTGCAACGAAACCATCAGTACAATTAAAATTTTTAAAAACTAATTTAAATCTATTAAAAGAATCAAGATCGTACAAGTTTGCATATTTACAACCACCTTCTGTAGTGTTGCCCCAAATGTAATATTGGTATTTCTGGTCTGCACGAGTAACATACTCCCATTCGGCTTCGTATGGCAATCTATAGGTTTGACCAGTTTTAATTGATAGCCACTGTGCAAAGTTTCTTACATCCTCACGTCTAAGGCAAACTGCGGGGTGGCTTTCATCTCTGTCCTCAAAACCTTCACCGAGATTCTCGTAGTCCAATTCGTCATTAAACGATAGTCTTGATACTCTATTGCCTGTGCTGGGATCTACAATGTTTTTAATTGCAATGCAACCTTTTGGTATCTTGTAGCCTGTTTCCTTTACAAATTCTCTAAACTGCTTTGATGTAATTTCAAATTGGCCAATTGCAAATTTCTTTTTAAATGTAACTTGGTGTCTTGGTAAATCCCATTTTTTAATTTCATTAGAAATCGATAATGCTGCATGTTCCTCATCAGAACCGCCCATTATAAAAGAGCCTTGTGGAATTACAACCATCTCTGGACAATAGGAATCTTGACAATCTTTAAAATGATAAAAGTCATTTTCAAATTGCGAATCTTTATGGTGCACAATATTTGCAGACTGTTTAATACTATCCAAATTGAAGGTGTAAAAATCTCTTGTTTCGATCTCTTGGCCCAATGACTCTAATGTTGAATTCCACTCTTGTAAAAATTGATGTAGACGTGCCGGTCTCTCTAAACTTAGAGAATCGCTACTGTAGTCTCTTGCATTACATCTGTGTAAAAGATATTCCAATTCATTTGAAAGTGACTCTATTTTTGGTTTTAAATTTCCAACAATAAAATTGTATTCATTCACACTACATTTACTCGAATCCAATAAATATTGTTTTATTATTTTTTTTAAACTATTTGTTTCGTTTAAACTTTTACTAAATACAGGTGAACAACCATATTTATCAAAACTAGACATACTATCCCGAACATTTCTGATATTTTTTAAAATTATATCACTCGAATAAATACAATTAAAAAACAATATTAAAACTAACAATTTAAAAATTAACATATTTTTAAAAATTTTATTTTACAATATAGTAACTATATTTATTAAGTATTCTTATTTATTATTTTTGTTATTTTATCAAATATTTATATAAATATAAAAAAAAAAAAATAATTAAAAAAAAAAAAAATAAATAATAAAAAAAAAAAAATATTTTAAAAAAATGAAATATTAATGAATTAATTGTAAATTCATATTAATTTATATAATATTGATTTATTTTTTAAATTAATTATCTATTGGGGGGTGTCTTAAAAATAATTTCTATTTTTATTTCAAATACCAATAGAAAAAAAATTATTTATGGTGTGTTTGTTTTTGTGGGTGTTTATGTAATGTTTTGTGTGGTATGTTTTTTATTTTAATATTTTAATATTTTATAAAACAGAATTAATAACCTTAAGAATCCCTTTAAGTGTATGTAGATATTTTAAAAAAAAACACTAAATAATTTATTTAATTTTTTTGTATTACCTCTTATAAAATTATAGTAATAATGATTAATTATATTTCACGAACTAGTCTAAATCCAATAGTATTAGATTTAGCTTGGGATGAGAATATTGTATGTCTCATTGAAACTTTTATATCATTAGGTTTGGAGGCCCAACATCCACCCTTAAAAACACCATAGCTGCATAAACCGTTATTTTCACTGCCCCATGATGAACCATTATTTGGGGCATTATAGAAATTTTCATGATAGCAATCATCTACCCATTCTTTTACATTACCCATCATATCATATAATCCAAAACCGTTTGGGAAATAACTGCCAACAGATGAGATGGTAGATGAACCATCACTGCAATTGAAACTATTAACATTATTTCCATATATTTTAGAAGAGCTTTTATCAAATACATTGTCAAATTTGCATGCTTTTTCAATATAATTACTGAATTGGAATAAATTTGATCTTGCTGCATACTCCCATTCAGATTCAGTTGGTAATCTATATGTCTGATTTGTTTTATTTGATAGCCATCTTAAAAATAATCTGGTGTCTTCTTTTCTTAAACATGTTACTGGTTCATTTTCATGTGGGACCATATCATTACCATTTGGTGAATTATAATTAATATCATTTGAAAAAAATAAATTTAAATTTTTTTGTAATGTTATACCACCATTTGGGACAACATGACTAGCCTCTTTAACAAATTCTCTAAATTGTTTTAAGGTTACTTCAAAAAGACCAATTGCAAAACTTTTTTCAATATTTACTCTGTGTTTCTGAAAGCTTTCAATACCATCCATCATGAATGTACCGGATGGAATAACCACCATTTCAGGGCAATAACTATCATGACAATCTTTAAAATGATAAAAAGCTCCATTTAATTCTTTTTGTGAATGTTCAATTAAATTATTTGTAACGGTATATTTCTTTTTATTAAAAATATCGTTTTTGTATACATGTAATAAAGTATTGAATGTTGAATACCATCCATTTAAAAAGTCAGAAAAGTAGTATTTAGACTCTACTTTTTTAGAATTACACAACCCCAAAGCAAAAGTAGCTTCCTCTCTTAGTGAGCTTACTTTTCCTTTTATTAAAACAGTAGAATATGTTATTTGGTTTGCTGTATCCCCTGTATTATTTAATTTGGAAAAGTTATTAATAATTTCATTTAAAGTATCAGTTTCTTTTATTAATGTTTCAAACTTTAATGAACATTCTGCATCATTAAAGCCCAACATCTTTTTCTGAAGATCCTCTATTCCATTTATAATAATATAATGTCCAAATGTATAATTTAAAAAAATAATAAATACTAAAAGTATATTTATTCGCCCCATTCTTTTCTTTTTGTTTTCTATTTAGAATAGTTATATTTTTTTTTTAATTTATAAGAAAAATTACCTTATAAAAAATTATTTTAAAACTAATAATGATTATTAATAATATTAATAATAATAATCACAATAATTATAATAATAAATATTGAATTATAAATGATTTCATATTTTATTTATTTTTACACATTCACAATCTATACAAAAATCTAAAAAATTCATTTATGTTTTTTATCTATAGATTTTAAAATTATTAAAAATTATAATTTTATAGCAAATAAAAAAAAAAAAAAAAATATATTGGGTTTAAATAATTTTATAAAAAAAATAGAGTATAGTATATATCTTTATATTTTTTAAAAAAAAAAAACTAAAATGTTTATTTAAAAATAATTATAAAATTAAAAGGGGTTTATTATTTTAATCTAATGACTATTCATTAATTTCTCTAACCAAACGGAAACCCCACATTGAACTACGGGCCTGAGAACTGAAATATGCATTTCTGTAAGCAATACGAACATTGTATGTGTTGTAAAAGAAACTACCACCTCTTAATACACCAAAATAACATATACCATTATTTTCCTCACCCCATCTAGAACCGTCACATGGAGCTCCTTCATAACCATAGTGCCAGCAATCATCTACCCATTCTCTTGCATTTGCTAATAAATCGTGAATACCAAATTGGTTTGGTAAATACTTGCCAACTCTTGCTGAAGTTTTTTCACCATCACGGCATTCGAAATGATCAAATTTAAATTGGAAACGATCGAATGAATCCAAGTCAAAACAATTTGAATATCTACAACCACCTTCTGTGGTGTTACCCCAAATATAGTATTGATAACCTTGATTGGCACGAGTAACATACTCCCATTCAGCTTCGTATGGCAATCTATAGGTTTGACCAGTTTTAATTGATAACCATTTGGCAAATTCACGTGCATCCTCACGTCTAACAGCAACCACTGGATGGTTTTCTGTTTGTGCGAAATCGTCACCTGGAGCTTCATAATGGAGACCCTCTGTGAACAATACTCTAGTATCGAGAGTACCTGTTCTATTATTATAAACTCTTAATACGGTTGTGGCTCCAATTGGCATTCTATAACCAGTCTCTTTAATAAATTCTCTAAATTGTCTTAGAGTAATTTCATATTTCCCAATTGCAAATTTCTTTTTAATGTTAACTTGGTGTCTTGGTTGATCCCATGGCCAAATATGCTCGTCTACACCCAATGCTCTATGCTCCTCGTCAGTACCACCCATTACGAATGAACCACTTGGAATAACGACCATTTCGGGGCAATAAGCATCATAGCAATCTCTGAAATGATTGAATGGAGTATCTAAATCTTGACATTCGATGATAGCTCTTGACTTTTTAACATTATCCAAACCAAATACCATGGGGACGTATGAACCACTTATTACAATATTACATAGTAAATCTAGCGAGCTGCTCCATTCTTTTAAAAAGTCTCTTAAACGTTGGCCTCTTTCCAATCCCAAATGATTATCATCATAATCATCTGAATTACATCTTTTTAAAAGAAAACTGGATTCTTCTAATAAAGATTCTACTTTGGGTCTAACAAAATTGTTTATAAAATTATATTCGTTTCCATTATTTTTTTTTGATAAGTATGTTTGTAAACAATTCTCTTTAAAACCTTTGGTTTCTTTTGACACTTTATCAAATACAATTTTGCACCCATCTACTTCAAAATTCTTCATTGATTCTTGAATTTTTCTGATTCCATTTGAAATTTCACTATTGCCATAACAATAACCAATGGATAAAAAAATTATTAGTATTAAACTTTTAATTATTTTCATTATTATAAAAAAACTATAAAAAATATATTTAGCTATAGTTTATTTATATTTATAAAAAAAATAAAATAAAAAAACAATAGATTTATTTAAATATTTTTTTTGAAAAAAAAAATTTTTAAAGATTTTAATTATTTAATAATACTTGGTAATTAATGATTATATATGTATATGGCAATTTGGAATATTTCTATTTTAATATAGCAAAAAATGGCGTTATAAAATTAAATAATCCATTATGGTTTATAGATGTTGTTGGTTTATTATTTATTTTCATTTATCGAATTATATAACCTATTATTTGAGTATTTAGAAGTATATATTTATTTGAATGGGGTAATTAAAAATGAAAAAATTATAAAAAAAGTTAATAAAAAATTAAAATATTAAAAAAAAAATAAGAATTGAGTGTTAAATAATGGGCACGATTATAATAATTTATTTAAAACAGTTTAAAATTTAAATAAAAAAACCCACAATATATTTTTTGGAGTGTGTGAAAAATATTATTTATTTTTATTTAGATTAAAATAATAAAATTAACAAAATAATCCATTATTAATAAAATAGAAAAAAAGGAAATTGTTTAAAATAATATAGAGAATAAAGTAACTAAAAATAGAAATGAGGATACAATAAGATTTGAACTTGTATTAGAACTTGAATGATCATTGATGATTACACCAGTACAACTTTTCTTGTTAGAGCATGAGCATGTAACATTGTATTGATAGTTTTTACCATCAACCATATAAAGTTTTAAATGTGGTTTGGTAGTACTACAAATAAAAGAGGTATCCGTATAGCTTGTTTCTTCATTACATTCATTGAAATTAATAAAAAAAGTGACATTGCCGTTAGATTTAGCCTCTTTTAAACCTATATAAACCTGATCACAAATTTCACCACAACCACCCAAAGTTACAGAACCAGTGCAAATAGGATTTGTTGTGTTATCTTGAAATACAATAGTATCGAACGAAGGAAGGGTTGCTTTACTTGATAAAACAAAGAATGCTAAAATAAACATAAAAATAATTTTCATTTTCTGATGGTATATGTTTCTAAATAAAAATAAAAAAAAAATAAAATAAAAAAATAAAACCCAATGGAATCCAAATTTTTTTAAAAAAAAATAAAGGATAAAAAAAATAATTATAAAAATAAAAAAATATTTTTATAAAAAAAATTTTAAAATTATAAAAAAAAAAAAATAATATGCTTTTTTTTTACTTTATTTAATTATCCACACTTATATCTATTTTGATTTTATTATTTTTAGGTTTTAGTATGATTAATTTATGTGGAGGTTTGGGTTCAATGTTTTTTTTTTCTGATTTCAAAAAAACCATGGCGGAATTTAATAGAAAGGAGGTTTGTGGGATAAGAAATTCTAAATCTTTTCATCTAGAACTATTTGACTATTTACCAAATTTGTTTGGCCAGAACAAATTCGGTATTCATCAAAAATTTGATTAGATTGAAAAGTTTGATTGGTATCTTCTTGATTGGTTGCTGTAAATTGTGTTGGAATAAACAAATAGGCTACGATTGATAGTCCTTTTTTCCATGTATATCTTCTACCTGTACTAACTTCGCTGGGGATTGGTTTGAACCAAAATCATCTTTTAAATCACTAGATATAAGCATCTCCTTTTTGTTTTGATTCTAAATCATTGGTAACAAATATTTTAAATGGAGATAAATGGGTTGGAACTTAAGCAATTGAATTGCACTAGGATGTTATATTTGAGTGAGGTGATATATTTTGATTGGGTAAAGAGACACCTGTTCACTTAAATAAGTATGGGCAGATTTTTGCAAGTAATTAATATCTATTGGTTGGTCAAACTATCTGAAAAATAAAAATTAAATTGGTTAGTTAATCTTTTCCATATTACTTTAAGACACCAAATTCTATTTGTTGAATGTTATTGTTGTTTTATAACTATATGATAATTTACTTACTTTCTAATTATAGTTTGAATCTGCCGTTTAGATTAAAATATATTATACAGTGTTATAAAATAAATATAAAAAATTTAGAAATACAATTATTTAATTTAAATAATATTGATTATGTGTGGTTATAAAATGGGTTGCGGGAATGATATAGTGTGAGGGTATATAACAAATTGATTTAATAGTAGAATTATTTTGAAAAAACAACAACAACATTATGAAATTTGAAGGGATTTTGATTGCAGCAGGAACGGAAGTGAGGGAGTTAACACCAAAACTATTTAGAAAAACAACTAAGTATAGACAAAAACAATTTTAAGATAGCATAAGGGTAAAAGCTATAATCTAAATATAATAAATATAAAAAATATTAATAAAGAGTTTAATATTAAATAAAAAATATAAAGATATATTACCTTGGTTACTTTTAACTAGACAGAGAAATAATATACATTCACCAAACTATAACTTGTTTAAATATAAAGTGGTTACATAAAACCCCAGTTATTTATAATTTCCTTGTATCTTTTTATGTGTTCAGAACGGACGTTTACCCTTACATAATAAAAATATTTGCAAATAATATAATGGGTATCATTGTGCAATTTATGATATGATTCGTGGAAACTTAGACTCTCTAACCCTTCAAAGAGATCTAAAGCTGAACACCAAACCATGTCAACAAATTCAACGTCATGCTTTTCATTAATTATCCATAGGATATTGTTATGGAGGGCACTTGAAAATTTTTTAAATACTGATACAGCCCCCTGTACTTCATAATATCTATACATATAACATCTGGCAACGATTATATATAGCTGTTCTTTGTATAATCCAACAATATCTTTATGTTCTATTTGAAAGTTTGGATTGAAATATACTTCAGCTAATATTTTTGAAAGTATTAGACTACTAATATCTTTAACTTTATCGGATACCTTTTCATAATATACAGCAAAGGTAACAACATTATTTATGAGGAGGTCAAGTTGTTGAGTTTCTAAACCTCTGAAAAAATTGCCCTTGGATAAACTATTATCAATGACAATTAATGCCTCCAAAATTTTGTTATTATTATCTTCTGAAACCAAATCGTATTTAATTTTTTCTAAAAAAAATGATTCAGAAAGATTAATTTTTTTGTTAATGTTGTTATTAACAATGCTGTTTTGTTGTTTTTCTTGTTGTTTTGGTTGTTGTGGTTCTGGCTGCTGTGGTTGTTGTGGTTGTTGTGGTTGTTGTGGTTCTTGATGTTGTTTCTCTATTTGAACCCTATTTAATTCTAAAAAAAAGTTAGACACTACAAATATAATATTAATACTATATGATACCTACTTCTTTTTTCATACATCTCTATTATTCTTTTGATATTATTAATATCGGCTTCAAGGTTTCCATCACCTAATAATATTTCCATACCGATATTTAATCTCTCTAATTTATTCTCATAAATTTCTATTAAAGATTCGAATAAAAATTTATATAATATGGCTAAGGAGCAAATTCTAAATGAAAAATGTTAATCCCAATTTTATATTATAATAAATATATTTAAAATGAATAACTTACATAATAAAGAATAAAAAAGAGTATCCATAACACATTGATTTTCCAAACAAAGTATTGAATGAATGAGATTGGATATATGAAATTAATAATAAAAAAAATTCTACTATTAAACTATAAAAAATAAATTTCCATAATAAGTTATTATGAAAATCTTTTGAGCTTTTAATTTTGGACTCCATACCCGCAATTTTGGAATCCAATGCTAAAAATTCTTCGATATTGTTTTTCTGAATACAAATAAAACTATGGTTAATATTTATTTCTTTTGTTTTTAATGTATATTATATAAAAGATACTTACTTTTTTTGAAAATGAAATACCCATTTTAGATAAATATGAAATAACCCAGAGTGAAAGGTGAGGGTTAAATATAAAATATACAAATATATATAATTGTAAAAAATTATTTACAAAAAAAAAAAAAAATTATTTAAAAAAAATTAAATAATTAAAAAAAAAAAAATAATAATTTAAAAAAAAAAAAAATAAGCTAGCAAGGTTTGGCAAAGCTGGAGTGGACTGGCTAAGCTGGACTGGACTGGCTACGAGAAATTAAGCTTTTATGGACACAATTGACTTGATTTATATAGCTTGAATTAAATGAATTTTTTTTAAAAAAAAACTATTTATAGTGAGAGAAAAGAGAAAAAAAAATTTTAATTGAAATTTTTTTATTTGAATAATCTATAACTATTTCCTGAATTAGGTATTCCTTTTTTTCGTACAATTAAATGTAAATCAAATTTGGTAGTGATTAGAATCTAATAGCTATATAAGCACACACCACATAAAAAAAATTTTAAAAAATAAAAAAAAATTTAAATTTTTAAAAATTTTATTATTATTATAATTATATTTAAACAATTCTATTTTTTATTACTTTATATTCTCTATTTGGTATAAATGTTGGTGGTATTTTTAATAATCCCTTTTTTTTAATAATAAATAAAACATATGTCCTATTATATATATCATTATTATATAAATGGCAATAATTGTATTATAATAATATTTAATAAATTATTTAATCAATATACACTTAAAAAAAGAGTATTTACACAAATTTTTTTTTTTATTTATTTATTTATTTATTTATTTTATATAAATAAAGTCGCATTGAGAATTTCTTTTATTTTTTTAATATTTAAATTTTTATTTAAATTTTTATTTTATTTTATTATTATTTTTTTTTTTTTTTTTTTATTTTTTTTTTTTTAATTATTTGATCATCAGTAATTATATATTTTTTTATAATTTGAATTACTTGTTAACCACAAATTTTTGAGTTACCCAGTCGTTTTGAATGCTGCAAAGGTTAACATCACTTTTATTATTTTAATTCTAATTAATTTTACCCTGTGTGTAGAGTAAAACTCGAAAAATCATATAAAAATAATTTCTGTATATTGCCTTAAAACATCAGTTGGTACGAGCGTAAGACTGAAGTTCTTATAGTCGCTGGTTGATTCAATTCTTTAATCACAACTTAAATTCTTTTATTTCTTTTTTTAAAATTTCCAAAATGCAAAAAAATTAATATAACCCACAAAAAAAAAGTGAATATCAAAAATCCACAAAAATATCTATAGATATTACCAAATATTAAAGTTTGAAAATAAGTTTGTTTTTTTTTTATTATAATTAATGGGCACCGTGAAAGGTAGAATCTAAAAATATAAATAATAAATAACCTAATAATATGGCAAAAAGTGAAGTACTTTTCTTTACAGTTTGGCTTGACAAAATTTCGGGTAAAATTGCTGAAGATGTTATATATAGGAATGTACCTGCACCAAAACCTAGAACAAAACTACCACTTGATATTGATAATCCTCCAAAAATAGCACTGCTAATAAATGCACCCAGTGGGGTCATACAGGATATTAATAAAAAGTAAAATAAAGGATTTGAAAATAATCGTTGCTAAATATAAAGGTATAGATTTGGATTAATATAAAATATAAATAATGTATTTTGCTGCTTTTGCTATATACATACATTTCCACCGCCGATTGGACTTAAAAATTTCTTTTGTGATAAAATAATTGATGATAATACTAAACCATCGGGAATTTTATGTATAACAATAGCCAAAGCCACTCTTGCGCCAACGTGTTGTGATGACGAAAAAGCACTTGATATTACAACGCCATCCACAAATGAGTGTATTGATAATGCTATAAATGTCGTTATGGTTAATTTTGATTTGCTACCACTATTATTTGCTTCACCAATACCTTTAATATCACCTTCGCTTTTACTAATATGAATACCATTGCTGTTATTATTTGATGGGCTGTTACTACCTCCATTATTTACATTTCTATTTTTACTACCACTACCAGCTTTACCACCATCTGCGCTTTCTATATCTATACTATTATCACTGCTAGATTTATTTTTACCACTATCCTCTTCGTCCTCTTGATCTTTAATATTTACATTACCCTTTTCTAATAATTCGTATTCATGGTGATGATCGTCATCACCATGCGAAACTGGCAAATGGCTGTGTGAATGACCTCCACCTTCATGTCCACTGAAAAGGGACTCGATTACAATTAAAATTAGAAAACCAAAACCTAGACCATACATTGGTATTTTAAATTTATTCTTCTTTTCTTCATCCTCGTGGTCATGTTCATCTTGATCATGTTCATCATCTTGACCATCTTCACCTTTATGATCATTGTGATCGTCATGTTGATCATAAAGTTGATTTTCTTTTTTAATTTGATATTCATTTTCTTCAAAATCAATCTCCATGATTTTATTTAAATGATGAGTATTTGTAAATGATTGAGATGTCGCTAAATTATTATTATTATTATTATTTTTACTATTATTACTATTATTTTCATCTGAAAGAGACCTTAATGCAAGGTCAATTGACTCTGGAACTAATTCTAATGTTGCAACTGCAAATAGTAAACCTGCTGAAACACACAATAAAATATGAAACACATTTGCATTTATATTTCGATTTCTAAATAAAAAAAATGGAACCGATGATGATATTAACGGTGCTAGCCCTGCCAATAAACTATATGCAAATATTGATCCCATTTTAATAAATAAAAATAATGATAAATTTTATTATTAACAAATCGATTTAAACAAAAAAAACTATTAAAGTACCTATTATTATTATTATTATATAATTAAAAATATTATTATTATTATCTATTATTTATTATTGCTATATTTTATTATCACATGTATAGCTTATTGAAATTTATTTAATATAAAATAACACCCCCTATAAAATAAAAAAACAAATTTAATTAAAAAAAACAAAAAAACAAAAAAATAAAAAAATTCAAATTTTAAAAAAAAATTTAAATAAATTATTTTTCCATAATTATTTCATACAACAGTTATTTATATTTCCAAATACTAATTTTAAAACATATCGTAAATGAAGCAAAATAAGATTCATCTTTATTTTAATTTTCTCTAAAGAAAATAATATTTTTTAATTTTGTTATTATTTTTTTTTTTTTTTTTTTTTTTTTTTTTTTTTCACATCTTTTTTAATTTTATAATTAACTTAATCTTATAGGTTTAATTTATTATATTATTTTTTATAATCATTTATTTATTTTGTTTTTAGTTTTTATTAAAAATAATAAAAAAAAATAAAAAAATAAATAGAAAACGATAAATACTGGTTGAATTACGAAATAAGCAGTATGTGTTTTCGAGCAATTATCGTTAAAATTATTATTATGCGGGTTAGATGCCACCCAATACCATTCTACATCCCTTATTATTTTTATATGTGTCACATGTAGTTAAATATCTACGAAATCGTAAATAATCGAATCTTATTTTTATTTTTAATTTTTTTTTAATTTTTTTTTTTTTAATATTTTTGATCAAACGAAAGTTGTCAATTATTTTTTTTTTTTTTTTTTTTTAAAGCTTTTATTATTATTACTTAATAAAATAATATAATTTTGTATTTATATATATTATAAATTGTGTATTAAAAAAGAAACACTATTAAAATTAATTTTTTAAAAGTGATATTTAAATTAAAGAAAATAATATTATTATTTATATGTGTAAGTATTTATTTTTAGCTTTTAAATTATTTATTATTTTTGTTATTATTATTATTATTATTATTCTTTATTTTTTTTATCTAATCTTGTGAATCATCCATGTGTTTTATGCACACACACTTAGATTCACACTCCACAAAATTCACATTACAAAATAATTTTTTTCTAAGGTGATATCTTTTTTTTTGTTTTTTTGTCTTAACATATCATAAAGTGTATTAAATAATTATAATATTCAAAGAAAAAAGAAAAAGAAAACAAACAAGTAGACTTGCAACGTTTGTTGATAAATACACTTTTTGTTCCTTTTTTTTTTTTTTTACAAGATTAAAGAAGAAAAAAAGGATCAGAGTCTTTTTTGGTTTTAATTTTTCTATAAATAAAAAAAAAAATAAATAAAAATATAAGGGTGGAGAGTGCTTTCAGTTGGAGAGTGATAAATTTTTTTTTATTTTTTATTTTTTTTTTTTAATTTGTTTTTTTAAAAATTGTTTTTTTATTTTTTTTTCAATTTTTTTTATTTTTATTTTTATTTTTTTAAAAAAATAGTAATATTAATGTGTGAATTTTTAAATAAATATATATATCATAATAATTAAATTTATATAGAAAGTGTATTTTAGTAAATTATTATAATATAGTAGTAGTATAAAGCATATTATAATCACACCACACTAAATCAAAAAATATAAAAAGAGATCACATATTAAAAAAAATTACAAGTTTTTTTTTTTTAAAAATTAAATCATCCTATTACTATTCGAGAATTATAAATAATAATAAAAATAATAATAAGAACTATACATGTATAATAAATATAATTAGATAGATAATAGTAAAAGAGAAAATCAAAATTAAAAATAAAATTCAAAAAAAAATGGAAGAGAGTACTCCAGTAAATGATTTCAAATTACCAGAAGGCATCAAGGATCCATCATTAGAGTTTGATTTACTTGAGTGTTTAGGTAGGGGCTCATTTGGATCAGTATTTAAAGCAATTTATAAAAGGACAGGAACAGTTGTAGCTGTAAAATTAGTACCAATAAATGAAGATTTTCAAGAGATTTTAAAAGAAATTAATATTATGAAACAGTGTAAATCAAAATATGTAGTGCAATATTATGGAAACTATTTTAAAGATGAAACATGTTGGGTAAATATTTACACTCATTCAAAAACTTGGAATGAATTCCCAAAAATAAAAATAAATAACACAATATATTAATTATTTTTATTAATTTTAGATTATTATGGAATATTGTTCAAATGGTTCAGTTAGCGATATGATGAATATAACTAATAGGGTTTTAAATGAGGAGCAAATTGCATTAGTTTGTTATAGTACATTAAAGGGTTTATACTATTTACATAGAAACAGTAAAATCCATAGAGATATTAAACCAGGAAACATTTTAGTTAATGATTTAGGTGAATGTAAATTAGCAGATTTTGGTAAGTAAACAAATTATAATTTAAAGAATCAGAAAGAAAATATTAATATTTAACATAAATAATAATAAATTATTTTAGGTGTAAGTGGACAATTAAGTGAACGTACAAGAAAAAGAAATACAGTTATTGGCACACCATTCTTTTTAGCACCAGAAGTTATTCAAGAAGTTGGTTATGATAATAAAGCTGATATTTGGGCTTTGGGTATCACAGCAATTGAAATGGCAGAATTTCATCCACCATATCATGATTTACATCCAATGAGAGTATTGTTTATGATTCCAACATCACCATCACCAACTCTTAAAGAACCACAAAAGTATTCACCAGAATTTTCAGATTTTATTGCTCTTTGTTTAGCAAAAGAACAAAGCCAAAGACCCTCAGCCAAAGATCTTTTAAAACATCCATTCTTTGAAAAACAATTAAAAGGTTCATATGTTATGAAATCATTATCAGAAACTGCTGAAATGGTTATCGAACGTGCTGGTGGTAGGGAAGAAGCAATTAAAGCAGCATCTGAAAGAAAATCAAAACAATCAGGTCAACCATTTGTAAGTTTTCTAATAATATAAATTATATTTTTTTAATTGAATTAGTTTATACTAATTTTTTTATATTTATTTTTTTTAAAAAAAGGAATTTATACATTGCGAAAAAGTCGATGAACCAGATTCATCAGATGAAGAGGATTTATTAGAAAAGAATAATAGAAGATTAAGTCAAATCCAAGAAAATAAAAGACAACAACAATCACCACCACCACCAGCTCAACCACAACAATCATTAAATATGTCAGGTCAATTTGGTAAAAATAAAAATGATGATATTAACGAATTAGATTCTTTATTAAGTAATATGATGTCATCATCAGCTGCATCAACATCATCTTATAATTCATCACATTCAGCTTCAGCTAATAATAATAGCAATGCATCATCATCACCATCACCAACATCAATTTCAAATAGCCGAGGTAATGTTGGTAATGTCGGTTATACCAATAATAGTAGTGTAGAATCATCATCATCATTTAAACAACCACAACCATCAACTCCACAACAACAATATCAACAACATCAAACCAATGGTTTTTCACCATCACCAAGATCATCAGTTGAGATTTCAAAACCAAAAGCTGCAGCTTCTGAATTGGATGATTTATTAGAAGAAATGTTAAACCCATCTTTTGGTAATAGACCAAGAGGCTTAACACCAATTAGTTCACCAGTTACTAAAAGACCACCATCAACTGGAATACCATCATCACCAGTTACACATTCATCTCAACCAACCATCAGTAATCGTGTCAATGGTATATGGTCAGGTGAAACTGCAGGTGGTTGCGCTAACACACCATTATGGCGTAAGAATCCACAATATCTTCTTCAAATTGTTCAAACCACTACAATTCGTATTACACTTCGTCAAACTGGTGATAAACTTGTACATATTGGATTTTATTTTGCTAAAGCTAATCAAGGTCAAGATCAAAACAAAAGAAGAATATCTTTGACCAAAGAAAATTTAGTACCAGGTATCGATATTACATTCCTTAAGAATACAGAGGTCTCAGCTAAAATTACAATGGAACCAGGATATTATGTTATTATTCCAGCTACATTTGAACCAGGTCAAGAGGGTACATTCGAATTAGAAGTTACACCAATTGCATCAACAGGTTTTATTGATGGTAATAGTATCAGTAACCATGTTAGATTAAGTGAAGTTCAACAAGATCGTGATTGGAAAACTATTTCAGGTCGTTTCGAATGGAGAGGTCCAACTGCAGGTGGTAGTTTTAGTGGTAGCAGTGCAACTTGGAAAGATAATCCAAAATTCTTTTTTGAAATCAATCAAACATGTAATAATACAATAATATTGGGCAAACATAACGATATGCCAAAAGAAACATATATCGGTTTTTACATTTTCAAAGCTGATAAAACCTGTCCTTTCATTTCATTAACAGCCAATAATCTCTTCTCAAAAACTAGTTTTGTCAATGGTTTAGAGGTTGTCCATAATCAAAATCAAATGCCACCAGGTTCATATATTATTGTACCATGCACCTATGATGCACGTCAAGAGGGTTCATTCTCATTGACATGTTATTCAGATGGTCAAATTAATAGATTAGATCTTAGCGAACAAATTCTTACAGTTCATGGCGAATGGAAGGGCCCAAGTGCAGGTGGTTGTCTCAATCATACAACTTGGAGAAATAATTCTCAATACTTGGTTCACAATACATCAAATCTACCAACTAAAATCACCATTATGTTAGAGCAATTAGAAAAAATGGATAATCAACAATTACCATTCGTTGGATTCTATGTAGCAAAATCACCAACTCCAATTTTAAATAAGAAGCTCTTTTCATTAACACCAAAAGATATTGTAGGTAATACTGAGTTTATAAATGATTATCAAGTTCACTTCACCTCAATTATGGAACCAAATTCATCTTATGTAATTATACCATCAACTTTCACTCCAAATATTGAATATCCATTCAATCTTCGTGTTATCACCAATAATCATAATGCAATTTCCATCACTCGTCTCCCAGACTGGTCGACTCGTACTCTTTCTGGAGAGTGGAGACAAGGTACATGTGGTGGCCGTTACAGCAACACAAGCAGCTCATGGACATTAAATCCACGTTTCCGTTTCAATTTACCAAAGGGTGGCCGTTTCACTGTAATTTTAGCTCAAGCAGAAAAATCAAACTATAATGGTATTGGTTTTTATTACTTTAAAACTCTTCCAGATGGTTCTCTCAAAGAATTTGTTTGTAAAAGTGGTTTCATTTGTGGTAAAGAAATTGTTTTAGAATCAACCACAAACGATTCAATCTCTGGTGTACTTATTCCTTCAACTTTTGAACCTGGTATTCTAGATTCATTTAGTATAATCATTTATTCTGAATATGATTCTGATTTTTATCAATAATCATATAAATTATTTAATAAAATAATAATAATAATAATAATAATAATAATAATAATAATAATAATAATAATAATAATAGTAATAATAATAATAATATATATAGTAATAATAGTAGTAATAGCACAAATAATATATCTTAAAAAAAAATATAATATATTTTTTTTCTTTTTTTTCTTTTTTTTTATATTCTATCCACCAACAACAATACTATAATTAATAATAATTAATTATAATATAAACCAAAATTTTGTATAATTAAAAATTTCATATAAATAAAACTATTAAACTAAAAAAAAAAAAAAATATTTAAAACTATAAAATTTTTAAACTATAAAACACCAAAAAGGTCAGGAAAAGAGACGAAAATAATATTGTTTTAATTTTAATTATTTAAACTTTTTTATTTTTTATATTTTATTACAAATTAATTTATTTCTTGAGTTAAAACTAGTTCTGTGTTTTCTTTTTGATATCTTTAGCTGCGTCACCCATTTTATCACCAGCTTCATTTATAGCATTTCTGGCATCTTTGGACCATTCATTGGTTTTATCTTTAACATCTTCAGCTGCATTATTTGTAGCTTCTTTAATATCCTGAGCCCAAGTATTTGCTTTATCTTTGGCGTCTTTAGCAGCATCATTCATTTTATCGCCTGCATTATTGATTGCATCTCTTGCATCTTTAGACCATTCGTCAGTTTTTTCTTTAACATCTTTAGCAGCATCATTCATTCTATCACCTGCATTATTGGCGGCTTCTTTAGCATCTTTGGACCATTCGTCAGTTTTACCTTTAATTTCTTTACCGGCTTCATTCATTCTATCATTAAAGTCATTTGCAGTTGATTTTATATTCTTTTCAGCATTATCAGTTGCATTGGCGGCTTGTTTTCTTAATTCTTTACATTTATCACAAAATGCATCCTTTTGCTCTTCTGTCCAGTGCTCGCATTTTTCTATTGTCTCTTCGGTGTCGTGTTTAGCTGTTGTCATCATTTCTGATGTTTTGTGTTTAATATTTTCATAACCTTCACCGACAGCATTGGCAGCATTTGAACCCATTTCTTTAGTTTTATCAATAACTGGTTGGATTGATTCTGATACATAGTTGATACCATTGTTTAAGGAGTCTTTGGTGGCCTCGTATGTGTTGAGGGCGGCATCTTTGGTAGCGTTATAGGTATTTACAACAGCATCTTTGGTGGCATTGTAGTATGATTGTGATTTATCTCCTGGATGAACTGATGATTGAGACATTTTATTAAGTTTTTATAATTTAATATTAAATATTTAGTTTTTATTAAAAGTTTATTTGTTAAGTATTTGATTTTATATTTTAATTGAATAATTTTTAATAAAAATGTTCTTTAAATACATTTTTAAAAACTGAAAAAATATATTTAATATTTTTTAATATTTTTTTTAAATTATTTTTACTATAATAATACAATTAATTGAAAACCTTTTATATGAATACTTGTTTTTAATATATTGTATAACATGATATTATCCTTTATCCATCTGTATCTTTATCTTTTTTTTTTTTTTTAAAATTTATTATAATTTAAAAATTCATATAAAAAAAAATATGATGTCATTGAAAAAAAATAAAAAAATAAAAAAAAAAAAAATAAAAAAAAAAAATAATAAATTAAAATTATATTTTTGCATAAATGTGGTAATTTTATTATAATTAAATTTTAAATAGAAGTTTATATTTTATTAACGAACAATTATAATAATTATTACAATGATCTACCATTTTATTTAAAAATTAAAAATAGAAATATACAAATATAGTTGGTATATCTAAATTTCATATAATTGTATTTAGTATTTTTATTTGGTAAAAAAAAAAAAAAAAAAAAAAAAAAAAATAAATAAAAATATATTTATTAATAATATGGGAATGAGCTATCTATTGATTCATTCCATCCTAATAATCCATCTTTGATATGTTGAATTTTTACTTTATCTCTCGAAATTTTTAATTTTTCGTCTAAAATTTTGATTGCGTCCTGAGATTTGTTACCTCTTCTACATAGTAAATAAACACTGAGTTCGCTATCTTCGTTGCTGTTTATTTTATCATTGATGAGTTTTTCTATTTTATCTATTGATTCCTGTTTATCTATAACTTCAATTGGAATGTCTATTTAAAAAAAAAAAAAAATTAATATGTTATGTCGTTTAATTTTAATTTTAATTTTAATTTTATTTTAATCCTACTTTCAGAGTTTGGTAATGAGCAAATTTCAAATTGATTTGAGGGTCTAACATCGATTAATAAATGGTTTTTGTTTGATTTAATAACTTCGTTGTATTGTTGTACAGTAATAATATTATGATGTTCGACTCTATCATCGACTTTACCAGCAGCCTCTGAATAATTACTACGACAGAATTCAGTATAGTCGATTAATTGGGTTACTGTTGGATTATCACCACAAACTGAACAATGTGGTTGACGGCCCCTAATTCTAACAGTTCTAAACACAGCAGACATACCGTCATATATTAATAAACGCCCACTTAAAACACCTTCTTTGTTATTTGTAATAATTTTAATGGTCTCTAATGCTTGTAAACTGCCTATAACACCAACTATTGGTCCTAAAACGCCCCCATCAGAGCACTTGGTAACTGTATCGACTGGTGGTGGTGTTGGGAAAATACAACGATAACATGGACCATTTTCATAATTGTAGACTGTTACTTGACCCTCCCATTTAAGAGCACTACCACTAACCAATGGTTTTTTTGATAATACACATGCATCATTAATTAAATAACGTGTGGCAACGTTATCTGATGCATCTACTACAATATCGTAGTTTTTAATGATATCCATTGCTGTTTCTGATGTAAATGTAGTTTCATATGTATTAACTGTAACCAAACTATTAATTGACTTGATTGTATTTGCCAATGATACTGCTTTTGGTACACCTGTACTTGATTCTTGATGTCCAATTTGTCTGTGGAGATTTGAAATTTCAACTGTATCGTAATCAACAATACCTAATACACTAACACCAGCTGTTGCTAAATACAATGCTACTGGACATCCCAATCCTCCTGCTCCTACAACTAAAACTCTTGATGCACATAGCTTCATTTGACCCTGTACACCAATATCTGGGGTAATGAGTTGTCTGCTGTATCTTTCAATTTCATTTGAATTTAAACTATGATCCTTTATGTATACAGCCGACATTTTATTATTAAATTAATATATTTGGAAGATTAAAAGAAATATTATTATAATACTATATAAATTTATTTAATGAATTTATAATAATATTTTTATATATAACTAATATAAGAACTAATTAAGAAATTTTATTGTTAATTATTTTTTTTTTATTTTTTTTTTAAACATTTAATATTTTATTTTATTTTTATTTTTTTCTTTTTTTTAATTTTTTTTTTATTTTTAATTTTTTTTTAATTTTTTTTTTTTCGTTTTTTAAAAAAAAATTTAAAAAAAAAAAAAAAAAACGAAGGCTCATTAATCAACGCATACTTTATAATTTTGCGAGATTACCTATTGTGCTATTATTTTTTTATTTGTTTTTTTATTGTTTTTATTTCCCTAATAATATAATAATAATAATAAATAATAATATCAAGTAATTAAAAATGGTAAATAGTAATGATAAAATGGAAGTTACAACCGAAAACACTAATGGTGTTGTAACACCATTAGACGAATTAAATATCGAAATTAAAAAAAAAGACCAATTAGTAGAATGTTTTTATAATATTGCATCTATGGATAATGAAATTCGTATCGAATCAATTTCAACATTAGTAGAAACTCTCCAAGATATTCAAAAATCATTTAAACCAGAGGATCATAAAGATATTTCTAGAATTGGTAAATATAAAATATATTATAAATATAACACAATAATAAAGCAATACAATAATAAAAATAAAAAATATAAATATAAATAATATTAAATATACTAACTATAACCAAATTTAAATTTATACAGTTTCAAAAGTTGTCGAAAAAACAGAAATTTTTAATGCCAAGTTTTCACCAGAATTAAATTATTCATTAAAAAGATTAGTTGTAGGTTTAGCATCAACAAGAGATTCAGCACGTATTGGTTTTTCATTAGCTTTATCAGAAATTTTACACACTTTCAAACAAATTGAATTACCATGGTTCTTTGATTTCTTAGCATATCATATGGATCTCAGTGGTAAGAATTTAACAGAAAAAGAATCACATTTTGGTCGTCTCTTTGGTATGATGGCCATTATTAAAAGTTCAAGACTCGAAGGTTTACCAATTATTCAAACCCAACCATCAAAATCAATCAATTACAATTTTAACCACCCAATCTCCGAAAATATAATAGAATGTATTGTTGAACAACTTTTATATATCTCAAAAAAGAAAAGCATCTACTCTGAATTATCCTTTGAAATTTTATCATCACTTTTAGATCAAATGAGCAATCCAAATTTTGATAAATTATGGCCATTCATTAAACCAATTATTCCACAATCTCACAACGATTACTCACCAGATGTTTTATCATTATTATTATTAATTACAAATAAGTTTAAGGTATGTAGAATTAATATTAATAAAGTAATTTTTCCAAAAAATCATTTATGTTAATATTTTTTATTTTATTAGAAATTTAACCTCATGAAGCAAACCAGTGGTTGGAAACATTCAAGTATTTTAAATCTTTCAAATTTACCATTATTAAAGAATGCTTATTCAGAATCATGTAAATCATACCCAAGAGTTCATAAAATATGGAGAATTTCATTTGAAATTTTATTAGCTGATCACTCCGATAATGCAACCCTTGTAGAGTTTTGGAATATTATGGTTGAAAGTAAGTAATATAATTTAATTTTTGTTTTTGTTTTTATTTTAATATTAATTTTTTACTAATTTCATTTTTTTTTTTTTTTAATTTAGATAATTTATTTAAATCATCATCAAATAAAAAATATTTAGGTTTACAATTATTCGAAATGTTATTACCATTAGTTCACCCAGATATTATCAGTAATGTTTTCACTAATAATATAATTTTAAATTTAGGAGAATCGTTAAAACCAACTAGCCCACTTCATGAGGTTGGTACTTTAGCATTCCAATGTATTCCAAAGACTGCAGAGGTTTCAAATCAACACCGTTTATCATTAATCCTTTTCTTTTCATCAAATCCACACCAACAACAATTTGAAGCTTCAGTATCAGTAGATGTTATCAATGAATTAATTGGCGAATTAGACGAAGATTCCATTAAAGTTTATTTAGAATCATTATATAAAAACTTTGTTGAACCAAAGAAATCTCAAGAACAACAATCCGATTCAGCCACAAATGGTTCTTCCACTGATGCTGATCAAGATGATGTTGCTATGGATGAAGTTTCAAATGAAGAAAGACAAGAGAAATTTATCGAATCATCTAGACTTTGGGTATTAGGTCAATTTGGTCATATTATTAAAGATCTCATTAAAAGACCAATTGAAAAGATCGTTTCTTTAGAATCAACTTTATTAGAATTATTACAATTCCTTTATTTCAATTCATATTATTTACCAACTAATGAAGAGGTACCAGCCAAAGGCAAAGGCAAACAACCAAAAGCTCAACAAAAATCATTCATCGATAAACTTTATTCAACTAAACCAGTTCCAGAACTTTCCCAATCTGTAAGAGATCAATGTTTTGTTAGATTCTGCTCAGTTTTAGAAGAGCTTAGCTACATCACTCTCGAGCCAACAAAAGAAGGTCAAGTTTCATATGAAGGTACTATGAGCGATGGTCAATTTTGGGCTACTAAATTAGCTTTCTTCCAATATGAATTATTAAAGAAGATCGGTGATGCTACAAAACCACAATTATCAACATTTATTCCAATGGGAAATAAACCAGTCGATAAAATTATGAAGGTTGTTCAATCAATTCAATCTAAACAAGCCGCCTTAGAAAATAAAATTAATCAATTAGTTGGTTTTGAATTATTATTCGTCCACGTTTCACTTCAATATCTTTCAGACCCAACCGAAATCTCTGATATCATTGATGATTTAACCTCTGCTTTTGAAGATCTCACCAATCCAAAGAAGAAACCAGTTTCCACCAAAAAGAGATCCACCCCAGATGATGAAAAGCCACTTCCATTCATGGTCCTTTTAGATGTATTAATCTCTTTATTAGATAACCCAGTTCATATCCTCAGAACTGTTATCAAACAAATCTTTACAATTTTCACAGATAATATTTCATTCCAAGTTTTAGAACATATCTTAACAATGATTAAAGCTCCAACAGAAGAATTATTCAATGGTTTAGATGGTGGTGAAGAAGGTGAAGAAGATGATGACGAGTTCCAACCAATTTCAACAGAAGAATTAGAACAATCAAAAGCTAAACTTGCTAAACAAGAAGAGTCTGATGATGATGAAGAAGAAGAAGAAGAGGAAGAAGAAGAAGAAGAGGAAGAGGAAGAAATCGAAGAATCTGACGACGATGATGATGATGATAATGCAGTTAACCCAGAATTAGTTGCAAGATTAAAGAAAACAATGGGCCACCATTTATTATTTGACGATGATGAGGAAGAAGATTTATTAGAACCAACTGAAAACGAAGCTAGATTAATCGATAATTACCTTAAAGAAGTTTTCAAAAATAAAAAAGATAAAAAGAGCAATTATCAAGATATCAAAACCCAAACTATCAATTTGAAATCACGTTTAATTGATCTCCTCGAAACTTATGTAAAGAAATTCACTGATAATCCAAACCCATACATCTTCAAGATGATTCCATTAATGATTGATGCCACTACCTTTGACGAACCATCCATTTCAAATAGATTCATCAGTATGTTCAAAAACAAATATTCCCAAATTCGTTCAACTAATGACAAAACTGTTAAAGCTTCAGAGTTAAATGAATTATTGCCACAATTATTTGATAATGTTATTGGTGCAAAACAAACAACCGCTAAAAAGGGTGAAAAAGTAGAAAAAGAACCAATTAATCCATCTGCTTTAATTTTATCAGGTCATGCTATTTATATGATAATTAGAGTTTTACTTTCAATGAAGCAAACCACCGAAGCTGCCCCTGCTGCTACTCCAAAGAAAGGCACTAAAACTGCTGCCACTAAAAAAGCTGCTGCTGTTGTCCCATCAACTGAATATGGTTCATTAGATTTAGCTTTATTCACCTCCAAATTTGATCAAATCATCGAAAGTTTATTAGATCGTACCAACGTTGCACCAACTAGATTCTTTACCGAATTTTCTCAAAGATTCCCAACCATTATTTGGACCTCAATTAAAAAGATTGTTTCAATTTTATCAACTACACAAGGTGATTATAATTATAAAAAGATTTTAGACGTCCTTGCAAACATCATCAAGAGAAAAGATTCATATGGTACCAATGGTAAAAATCTTAAAGAAAACTCATCATTAATCATTTCAACTTTACTCCAATCACTCTCTGACCAATCAAAGAAATTAAAACCAACTTCAGTATTTGATATCTTAAATTTAATTAGTTTAATTGTTCAAAATAATACCACTTTAGAAAATAATGATGTTAGAGTTGTTCTTGGTTCAGCCACATTAAAATCACTCGACAAAACTCTTTTCGAATGTTACAAAACTCACAACAAACAAAATATTAAAGATTCAATCAAGAGAGTACTCAGATTATTAAAGATGGAAGATGAAAGCCAAGTATTTGAAATGGAAAAGAAAAATAAATCAGAAAAACAACAAAAGAAGGAGGTTCAACATAAAGAAAAACTTGAAAATAGAGAAAAAGAAAGAAAAGAAATGCAAGAAAAAATTAATAAATCTAAAGAAGAACGTAAACTTAATAAATCCACAGATTCCAAAGTTGATAATAAAAATAAGAGTAGACCAAAGAAGAAGGCTGAGGATTCAATGGAGGTTGTCGAAGATTTAGATGAAATTGAAGAAAAACCAAAACAATTACCAAAATCAAATAAAAAAGATACTAAATCCCCACAAAAAGATATTACACCAAAGAAACAAGTTAAATCAAGCGATAATTCACAACCCGCTAAAAAAAAACAAAAAAAATAAATTAAAAAAAATAAAATAAAATATATATTTAAAAAAATACATATAAAGGTTTATATTGGCATTAATATTTTTATATTTATAATTATATCTTTATTATTTTTATATTATTATTTAAAACTGTATCCTTTTTTAATTTAAATGAGGACTTTTTTTTTTATTTTAATTTCTTTTTTGTAATTTAGAAGAGTTATTAACTTTCTTTTTGGTTAGAGTAAGATGAAGTAATCCATTGGTTAAATCAAAGTCTTTAATTTCTTCTGCATCTTGTTCAATGATTAAAATTGGGAATTCAAAACTCCATTCGAGAGGTCTTGTGTGGGTTGTTTTAAATTCGTCTCTAAGGATATTTGTAGTATTTCTATTTTCAATCTTTCTTTGTATATCACTCTTTATAATTATCTTTTTGGTGCTGTTAACGATTTCTATTTTAATATCCAAGTCTTCAATTTCATATCCATAGCATTCTAAACTAACATAGTAATGATCTTGGTCTTCTGAAACTCTTGAAAGAGAGGTGTTTGGATTCTCTGAAATTAAACCAACCAAGTTAAAACGAATATCAGCATATTTAAGTTCTTCACAAGGGATGCAGGGGTCTTGGTTAGTTTTTATAAGGGTTTCTTCTGTATTTAAAACAACTTCAACTTTTTGATTTAAATAGTTTGAAATAACTTTGTTTGAAAACTTTGTGATATTATCAACTAAATTAAATCTTTCAAGAGATGTTGAGGCTGCACTTAATAACCATGATTGTAAAAGTTCTATTGTTGGTTGGTTCATCTTGGCACCAGCTTCAGAATAAATTTTAGATTCTGAATCTTTGTCATCACAAGCCATAACAACATGACGGGTACCTTTAAAAAAACGGTAGTTAGTTTAAAATTTTTTAAAATACATAAATATTTTTATTACTTACGATCATTTTCATACCAATATGGTGCAGAATCTTTCAATTGTTTTACTTGACAATCAAAACAGCCGACAATTTCTTCTTTTATAACCTTTTCTAAATCTTTATTCAACTTGACGTGACTTAAATTATGAACAATGATAATATTCTCTTTATTTCTAAAGGTTTGTTTAATTTGTTTAATATAAAGTTGATCGTCACGAGTGAGTCTATCTACAACGATAAGAACAATGTCTGAAAGATTAAGACTAAGAGTTTGAAGGAATCTTTCTGTTGCTTCAGAATCTTTCATTTTGGCTTCATCACAGTTTTTAACTGGTTTTTGGGAACCTTTTGTATCAAGACCAATTAATACTTCGGTAACATCAGCACGAGATAATAAAATACTGAGACCTAAAAAATATAATTAAATTAATAAATTTAATTTTTAAAAGGTAAAATATTTAAAAAACTATTACCTTCAGTATGTTCAAAGAATGAACTTAATAGCTTTAAACCTAAAATACGGGATAAAACATAAGACTTTCCTTTGTTATAAAGACCTAAGACCGAAACTACAGCACGTCTATTATTTTCACCTTTAATTTCTTTTTTCTTATTTGCAATTTCAGCTTCATCAGCACTAGAGGGTTTATTAGAAAGAAAAGTTTGAATTTTAGCCAAAAAGCTTGGAAACTCTTTTGACTTTTTAAACTGTTCAATTAATGGATATGAAACTTCCCAACCTTTTGAAATATCTAAAATACTATTTATTTTGACAACAATATCATAACATTCTGAGTTTTTGCTATAATTTCTATAATTATTTAATGTTAAACCCTCTAAACCAAATTTTTCAAAATCGATCCAACCACTCATTTTAATATTTATATGATTGATCTGTAAATTTGAAATAAAAAAAAATAAAAAAATTTTTTATAAATTTTTTACAAATTTTTATTTATTTTTTTTAAATAATAAAAATAAAATATAAGTTTTCAATGTTGGAAAAAAAAAAAATTCCCACCCCAATTTTTTAAAACTAAAAAATTAGATATTTAAAATTAAATAATATTTTTTTTTAAATTATTTTTTTTTTTTTAAAAAACTTAATATCCTTAAGTTTTAAAAATCAAACCAAAATTTTTTAAAAACCAAAGAAATAAAAACTGTTATTTAAAACACTGGTAAAAATTTTGAAATGAAAATGAAAAAAAAATAATTTTTACACATGCCCGATATATACATGCAGACTATATTATTAAAATGAAAATGATAATTATTGAATCAATCAGCCATATTTAACGTTTAAATCATTTTATTTGTTAAAAAAACAATATTTTTTCAGTTTTGTTTTTATTTTAACAATTAAATAATTATTGATTATTATTTAATAATTTGAATACCTCCATGTGCTTTTTATGTTGAATTCATTGGGGAAAGGAGTGACTCATATAATGATTATATGGTTGATGTTTCAATTGAATAATTTTTCACTTGACATACCCCAACTAGGTCTTGTGATTGGTCATGAAACATCTTTTTTGATACCCATTCTTTAACAATTAACTGAAGATTTTCAATTATATCTGGACTGTAAGGAGGTTTTGAAAAAACTTAAATAATATTATATGTAATATTAATATTGTTATATTTATATTTATATCTTTATTATTTTTATTGTATTCAAAACTGTATCTTTTTATTAAATTAAAAGGATTTTTTTATTTTAATTTATTTTTTTTGTAATTTAGAAGAGTTATTAACTTTCTTTTTGGTTAGAGTAAGATGAAGTAATCCATTGGTTAAATCAAATTCTTTTATATCGGATGCATCTTGTTCGTTGATTAAAATTGGGAATTCAAAACTCCATTCGAGAGGTCTTGTGTGGGTTGTTTTAAATTCGTCTCTAATGGTATTTGTATATTTTCTATTTTCAATCTTTCTTTGTAAATCACTCTTTATAATTATCTTTTTGGTGCTGTTAACGATTTCTATTTTAATATCCAAGTCTTCAATTTCATATCCATAGCATTCTAAACTAACATAGTAATGATCTTGGTCTTCTGAAACTCTTGAAAGAGAGGTGTTTGGATTCTCTGAAATTAAACCAACCAAGTTAAAACGAATATCAGCATATTTAAGTTCTTCACAAGGGATGCAAGGGTCTTGGTTAGTTTTTATAAGAGTTTCTTCTGTATTTAAAACAACTTCAACTTTTTGATTTAAATAGTTTGAAATAACTTTGTTTGAAAACTTTGTGATATTATCAACTAAATTAAATCTTTCAAGAGATGTTGAAGCGGCAGTTTTTAACCATGATTGTAAAAGTTCTATTGTTGGTTGGTTCATCTTGGCACCAGCTTCAGAATAAATTTTAGATTCTGAATCTTTGTCATCACAAGCCATAACAACATGACGGGTACCTTTAAAAAAACGATTATTAGTTTAAAATTTTTTTAAAATACATAAATATTTTTATTACTTACGATCATTTTCATACCAATATGGGGCAGAATCTTTCAATTGTTTTACTTTGCAATCAAAACAATCGACAATTTCTTCTTTTATAACCTTTTCTAAATCTTTATTCAACTTGACGTGACTTAAATTATGAACAATGATAATATTCTCTTTATTTCTAAAGGTTTGTTTAATTTGTTTAATATAAAGTTGATCGTCACGAGTGAGTCTATCTACAACGATAAGAACAATGTCTGAAAGATTAAGACTAAGAGTTTGAAGGAATCTTTCTGTTGCTTCAGAATCTTTCATTTTGGCTTCATCACAGTTTTTAACTGGTTTTTGGGAACCTTTTGTATCAAGACCAATTAATACTTCGGTAACATCAGCACGAGATAATAAAATACTGAGACCTAAAAAATATAATTAAATTAATAAATTTAATTTTTAAAAGGTAAAATATTTAAAAAACTATTACCTTCAGTATGTTCAAAGAATGAACTTAATAGCTTTAAACCTAAAATACGGGATAAAACATAAGACTTTCCTTTGTTATAAAGACCTAAGACCGAAACTACAGCACGTTTATTATTTTCACCTTTAATTTCTTTTTTCTTATTTGCAATTTCAGATTCATCAGCACCAGAGGGTTTATTAGAAAGAAGAGTTTGGAATTTTGCATAAAGGCTTGGAAACTCTTTTGACTTTTTAAACTGTTCAATTAATGGATATGAAACCTCCCAACCATTTGAAATATCTAAAATACTATTTATTTTGACAACAATATCATAACATTCTGAGTTTTTGCTATAATTTCTATAATTATTTAATGTTAAACCCTCTAAACCAAATTTTTCAAAATCGATCCAACCACTCATTTTAATATTTATATGATTGATCTGTTAATTTGAAATAAAAAAAATAAAAAAAGTTTATAAATTTATCAAATTTTATATTAGTTTTTTTTTTTTTTTTTAAAAAACTTAAAAAAAATAAATTTAAAATCCAAAAAGAAAAAAATTCCCACCCCAATCAACTAAATTTTTAAAAACTCAAGAAATTGATAAAATTAAATAAAAATTTTTTAAAACCATTTTTTTAAAAAAAACTTTTCAGCCCTAAGTTTATAAAAACCCTCAAAAAATTCACCAAAACTTAAATTGCAAAATTATTATAAAAATAATTCAAAAAGTTCTTAAGAAAAAATTTAAAAATTAAAAAAAAAAAAAATTGTTTTTGGGAAATTTGATTTTTTTTTATTATTTTTTTTAATTTTTTTTTATATTATTTTGATTATATTTTCTCTGTTATTAGAATATAAATGGATTTAAATAACTAATACGGAACTACTGAAACTGATTCATTGTATATTTGAAGAAATAGTTGGGTGATACTGCCAGAATATGACTTTGAGTGGATAGTTGATGTTTTGGTTGTAAGGTGTGTTTATACTGCTAGAATATGATTTTGAGTGCGATTTTTGATGGTTGTAAAGGGTGTTTATACTGCTGAAATACGGTTCTGAGTGGATTGTGATGAGCATTTAAGGAATGCGGCGGTGGTGCGGTTAATTAAAAAGTTGTGATTTCATTAAAGGGAAATGTGGCTCTGGTTTTCGTTCTGATTAAGTTGAAGATTGTCATGAACTTTGTTTTCGAATAATCGATCTTAGAAACTTTGAACGTATTGATATTGAGGAATAAAGAATTGGAATTAGGCTAAATAAGAATTAAGTTAAAAATCAGATTTTTAAAACTTTAAATTTCAAAAAAAAAAAAAAAAAAAATTTTGAAACTTTTATAAAAAAATGTGGTTTCCCACACAGGGTTTTATTAGTGGTATGAATTAAATAGTGGGTCCCCAAAAAGAAAAAGTAAATTCAAAATTTATGAACATCATGATTATCAAAAAAAAAAATTTATTGTTTTATTATTTTACAAATTTTAATAATGGATTTAAATTTGATACAGGACAACTACTATTAAAGCTAACCTATTTATTATAAAATCAAATAATATACTGCATTATAGTTGATTTCTAAAAGTTGGTAGGTGTATTTAATATAAATTATGATATTAAAAAAAATTAAAAAAAAAAGAAATGAATTATTTTTTAATTTTTTTGAAAAAAAAAAAAAAAAAAAATAAACTACCACTTCTATCTCTGATATATGTTTTTTTAAAACATGTTTATCTTTATAAATATTTTAATATATATATTTATTTTATTTTTTACAATTATTATCTTTTTATTTTTAAAAAAATATTGTATTTAAATATTTTAAAAAAAAAAAAAAAAAAAAAAAAAAAAAAAAAAATTAATTTTTTTGTTTTTTTTTTACTAATTAAAAGCAATAGCAAATGATAAATATATTACTGTAAACATAATGTAAATTAATCAAATATTATTGAAACTTTAATAGTTGTGTATATCATATAATGTAATAACTATTTAAATTTTTAAAGGTCTTTAATTTTTTTTTTAATAATCAATATTTATTAAATCAAGACCTTTTATATCGATTGCATTTTGTTATTATTATGTTGGATTCTAAAGATAATGAAAAATTATATTGTGCCTGGAATATATGAAAATGATCATTATTGAATTAATCCGTCATATTCAACGTTTATTTAAATCATTTAAATAAATCATATTTGTTATAAACACAATATTTTTTCAGTTTTTCCAATTTTATTTGTATTTTTAACAATTTTAATATTATTAATTAATAATTTGTATACCACCATGTGCTTTATATTGAATCCATTCGGGGAAGGAGTGACTCATATAATGATTATATGGTTGATGTTTCAATTGAATAATTTTTCATTTAACATACCCCAGGTTTTGTGATTGGTCATGAAACATCTTTTATGATCCCATTTTTTAATAATTGACTATAGATTTTTAATTATATATCTGGACTGTAAGGAGGTTTATTAATATTTTTAAATTAATAATTATATCTTTATTATTTTTATTGTATTCAAAAACTTTATCTCTTTTATTAAATTATAAGGATTTTTTTATTTTAATTTGTTTTTTTTTTTTGTAATTTATAGGAGTTATTAATTTACTTTTTGGTAAGAGTAAGATGAAGTAATCCATTGATTAAATCAAGATCTTTTATATCAGTTGCATCTTCTTCAATGATTAAAATTGGAAATTCAAAACTCCATTTGAGAGGTCTTGTGTGTGTTGTTTTAAATTCGTCTCTTAAGGTAGTTGTATTTTCTTTAATTTCAATCTTTCTTGGTAGTTCACTCTTTATAATAATTATCTTTTTGGTGGTGTTAACGAATTCTATTTTAATATCTAAGTCTTCAAGTTCATATCCATAGCATTCTAAACTAATATAGTAGTGATCTTGGTCCTCTGAAACTCTTGAAATTAAACCAACCAAGCTTAAACAAATATCGGAATATTTAAGTTCTTCACCAGGGGCCCAAGTGTCTGGGTTAGCTTTTATAAGAGTTTCTTCTGGATTTAAAACAACTTCAATTTTTTGATTTAAATAGTTTGAAATAATTTGGTTTGAAAACTTTGTGATATTATCAACTAAATTAAATCTTTCAAGAGATGTTGAGGCAGCACTTAATAACCATGATTGTAAGAGTTCTATTGTTGGTTGGTTCATCTTGGCGCCGGCTTCAGAATAAATTTTAGATTCTGAATCTTTGTCATCACAAGCCATAACAACATGACGGGTACCTAAAAAAAAAGATTTTTAGTTTAAAATTTTTTTTAAAATATATAAATATTTTTATAACTTACGATCATTTTCATACCAATATGGGGCAGAATCCTTCAATTGTTTTACTTGACAATCAAAACAATCGACAATTTCTTCTTTTATAACCTTTTCTAAATCTTTAATCAACTTGACATGAATTAAATTATGAACAATGATAATATTCTCTTTATTTCTAAAGGTTTGTTTAATTTGTTTAATATAAAGTTGATCATCATAAGTAAGTCTATCTACAACGATAAGAACAATGTCTGAAAGATTAAGACTAAGAGTTTGAATGAATCTTTCTGTTGCTTTAAAGTCTTTCATTTTAGCTTCATCATAGTATTTAACTGGTTTTTGAGAACCTTTTGTATCAAGACCAATTAATACTTCAGTAATATCAGCACGAGATAATAAAATACTGAGACCTAAAAAATACAATAGAATTAGTAAAATTTATAAAAAGTAAAACATAAAAAATAAATACCTTCAGTATGTTCAAAGAATGAGCTTACAAGCTTTAAACCTAAAATACGGGATAAAACATAAGACTTTCCTTTGTTATAAAGACCTAAGACCGAAACTACAGCACGTCTATTATTTTCACTTTTAATTTGTAATTTTTTAATGGAAATTTCATCAACACTAGAGGGTTTATTAGAAAGAAAAGTTTGGATTTTAGCCAAAAAGCTTGGAAACTCTTTTGACTTTTTAAAATGTTCAAGTAATGGATATGAAACTTCCCAACCATTTATAATATCTAAAATACTATTTATTTTTATAACAATATCATAGATTTCTGATCCTTTGCAAAATTTTCTATAATTATTTTTTTCAAAATTAATCCAACCACTCATTCTCAAAAAAAAATAAAAAAATAAAAATAAAAAAATAAAAATAAAAAAATTTTTTATAAACTTTTTTTTTTTTAATAATAAAAAACTTAAAATGGGTAATAAAAACCAAAAATTACCAAATTATATATAAAAATTGTTATAAAAAATTGATAAAATAAAAATGGTTGATAAAGATAATGAAATAATTTTATTATTAAAATTTTAATTAAGAGACTTATCTACTTGACCTCTATAATTGTTAATTTGAAAACTAACTATATTTTTAGCTCTTCATCTTCTTCATTATTATTATTATTATTATTATTATTATTATTATTATTATTATTATTATTATTATTATTTTTTGGTTTTGTTGTGTTGTTTTAATTGAATGATATATTTATATCTTTAGTATTAATATTTATTTATAATTATATCCTTATTATTTTTATATTGTTTTTAAAACTGTATCCTAGTTTATTTAAATTACAAGGATTTTTTATTTTAATTTTCTTTTTGTTAAGAGTTAGATGCAGCAATCCATTGGTCTCACAAATTGGCGTTTCTGTTCCCAGCTTATATGCAGTGTGGTAAAACTTATATAAATATAAAACACAAACCAAAAAAAAAACCAAAACACAATAAAAATACTGATGACATTAATGTTAATTAAAAATCATCTTAAAATTTTTTTTTTTTTTTAAACCCAAGATCTTGAAATTTTAAATGGTGGATAAAGATAATTAAAAAAATAATTTTATTATTAAATCTTTAATTCTGAGATTTCTAAACTATTAATTCTGTGGTGGGAATAAAAATAACCTGATGCAGCTGTTACCCCAACATATGAATTTTGGACACCTACCAGATTTGGGACATGTATATTTGATAATAGCTCTACTGAGTCTACAACCACTGATATTGATGTTGATTCTCGATGAAAAGTAATTTCGACATTATGAAGATTTCCATCTTTTATTTCGAAAGTTGGGGATTTACAAGCTAAAGAGTATTTATGGTTGGATGATAGGATATTTGATTCGTTTGTACCTTGAAGTGAAATATGGTTACCATTTGGTTCATTCTCATTCCTGTAAGTATCGAATTCAACTGCACAATAACCTTTTAAACCTGAATAACCAATTGATTCACCCCCAAGATTTGTACTTGTGGTAATATGATTTCCTTCACCTTGAAATACTAATGCAAAACCATCACCACCAGCGTTTCCATTATGTGTTTCGGTTGTTATTTCAAACGAAAATTTAATTAATAAATCTGATTTGAATGGAATTTTAATATTGCTCCATACCGATCCTACTTGATCTCTATAATTGATAATTTGAAAACTAACTATATTTTTTAGCTCTTCATCTTCTTCATTATTATCATTATCATTATTATTATTATTATTATTATTATTATTAATTGGATTTGTTGTGTTGTTTAAATAATTATTACGACCACGTTGAACCAATGGGTTAATTGAATGATACCTTTTAAGCATTTCTCTTTTGGTAAAGATTTGGTTTCCATTAGAATTTATAAAAAAAGAATTTCCATTTCCTTTAGAAGTTAATTTATTAAATTTAAAAACTCTGTTATACTTCATAATATAGTTAAAGAGAAATATATTTCTGAAAACACTAAAGAAGAGTTTTTCATTTTTTTCTTGATCTAAATTATTATTATTATTATTATTATTATTATTACTGTTATTTGTATTCATTGGAAAATTTTATATTATTTTTTTGTTCATTGAAAAAATTAATAAAAAATAATATATAAAATTATTTTATTGTTTAATAAAAAATTAAATTAAAAAAAATAAAATATTTCTTCAAATTCCAAAAAAAAATTAAAAGATTTTAAATTAAAATAAATAAAATAAAAAATTTTAAAAAAAATTGTTTTTATAACCAAAGAAAAAATTTTTGTTTTATATCCAACAAAATTTGAATTTACTTTTTCTTTTTTTTTTTTTCTATGGGTGTACTTTCCAATATTAACCTTTAAATTAATTTTATAAATAAATTGATATATTATTAAAAATTTCTTATTTTGTTTTAATTATTTCATTAATATTTTGAGTTGGCTAATCATTTCATTAAATTCTGATGATTTGATATATTCTTGTGTTTTTTGGTGCATATATTCAATGGTTTCATCAGAAGCATCATTTACTGCGATAGAACGGTCAATAATTGGGTCAAATCTAAAATACTTTAAGTGGCTATATGATTTCTTAAAATCTTGATGGGTTTCATCACTTGCAACGGTCATAAATTTAACAATTCTGTGGATTGGTGAGGATAGTTCTACCCCAGTTAATCCAGGAACAACGGTATTGTTTACAAATTCAAAAGGCATCTTAATTCCAGACACAACATGATTTCCAAAACTCTTTACTTGCTTTCCTGCCCCAATTGAAATAAAAACGAAAGAATCTTCAGCATGTGCACCCCCGAATAAAGATACTGCCTCTTGATAAACAATCTTTGTTGGGTTATTATTTTGATAACCACCATCCAAGAAATTTCTTCCTTTATAACGTGGAACATTAAATAAAAGTGGTATACCTGCAGTGGCTCTAATGGCATCCGATACTGAAATATCGATCATTTGTTTGGGCTCTGAGTACTCTCTATGTGGGTTGTTATAATTTGACAAAATAAAACTTTGATAATCAATAGGAACGGGTGTTGGACTTAGGCAAGAAACTACAAGACCCTTTCTATGTTGTGCAAATTCACTGAGGTTTTTTCTTCCAAATAACCTTTCTAGCTCTGTAATCAAAAACTGAGTATTTGATAATGACTGTGACTCGGTAATATTACTACAATTGAATTTCAATACATTCTTACCAATACTTTTGTATAGGTCTGCAATTTCACTTGAAGAAATATCATTCATTTTACTGAATGCAATGATACCACCTGCTGATGTTCCACCAATTAAATCAGCATCAGAAATATTAATTTCTAACTGTCTCTCTATTTCTTCAATTATTTGAATTGACATTAGTCCCTTGATACCGCCACTATAATAAATAAAAGTTTTAGAATTTTATTTTACATAATATTGTTTTCTTTTTTTAAAATATATATTTTACCCATCTATTGAAACAAAAAACTTTGTTTTAATTTTTTTATTTGCACCATCCATTTTAATATTATTATTATTATTATTTATATTTATAAAACTGAAATAAAAATATAATGATTAAAAAAAAAAAAAAAATTTGTTTTAAAACAAAAATAAATTAAATTAAATTAAAAAAATAAAAAATTAAAATATTATTTTTAAATAAACACCACACACATAACCGCCAACCCCCGCCTAAACCTTCCACCCTTTAAAATAATTAGGACACATGCCGGGTGATATAAGAGGATTACAAAACTGTTATTTTTTATTCTTTACTATATAATAATATTATTATTATTATGATTTATTTAAATTAAATTGATAATGAAATAAAATTTTTAATATCTTCACATTCATTTTGAGTTGCAGAACCTTTAGAGAATGTAACTTCATTTGGGATTTGATCAAATTGGAATGATGAACCTTCATTACCTAAATAAATATCTTTTTTATCGTCTTCTTGACCCAATACAGTTGGTGAAGCACCACGTGTTTTTCTTAAATCATCCAATTCCTTTTCTAAAATGCTTGTAACTTCTGCAACATCAATTGATGATCCTATATCCATTTTATTAATAAAAATCATAATTGGTATTCTCTTTGAAAAAACAGATTCATTTGTTAAAATATCGTACAAATATCTAAATAAATAATTGAAATAAAAATGTTTAAATTAATAATCAAATATGAATTTGAATTTGAATTGTTGTTATTGTTCCTAAAGTAGATGGTGGTTGTTTACATACTGAGCTTCTTGGGTTGCATTATCGATAAATTCAGTAACATCAATGGTATAAATGATACAACCTGCATTTTGAAGAATTTTTGGTAAACTTGCTTTGATTTTTTCATTACCTGGTACATCGATAATTGGTAATTTCTTACTATTAACTTGATAAACACCATTATTTGGGCTGATACTTGTATGAGTTGCAATCTCTTTTTCTAATGTTAAATCTAAAAATAATGCAGTTTTACCTGAATTTGATAAACCTAAAATAATAATATTGTTTCCTCTTTTAACCTTTTTAGTTGAAACACCACCACGTCTATTTGATTTATTACCACCACCACTACATGCTAAAAACGATAAATTATAAACATTATATAAATATTAAATAATAAAATAATAAAAAGAGGGAAAAGAATGTTTCTTTAATAATAGATAGAAAAAGAAAAAAGATAATGATTTATTTAATTTTTATTTAGAGATTATTTACATGAAATTAATATTATAATTAAAACTGTGAAAGCTATTCCGACAATGTAATAGGTTTCGAGTGGTAAGTTATATGGTTTTAAAAGTGAATCGATTTGATCATATCTTGCACTTATATGACCTGCAACATTTTCTGGTAAATATTGTTTTAACTGTTGATATGATGTACTAACTTTCATTCTATACTATAACTATTACTATCACTATTATTATTATTATTAAGTTATTTGATTTATTAAACTATTATAATAATATAAAAAAAAAAGTAATTGATTAATAATAATAAAAATTTTAAAAAATTTAATTTTTTTTTTTTTTTAAAAAAATGGTTTTTCTTTTTTTTTTTAAAATTAAAATTTGACCGAAAGTTGACTGGATGAAATATGATGAAATTACCTTTTTAATTTATCTTTTTGAAAATTAATTATTTGTTTTTATCTCTTGATGTTAAAAAAAAAAAAATAATAAAATTAAAAAAAAAAACACACACAAATATAAATAAATTAAAAAATAAAAATAAATAAAATTTTAATTATTTAAATGTTATAAAATATATTTATATATTTATAAAAAAAAAAGAATTGATTTTATTTTTAAATGTTTTTTGTTTTTTTATAATAAATTTTACTTTACTATTTTTATAAAACTTCTAATATAACAATATTTAACAAAGAAAAAAAAAAAAGTGATATATAAAACCTTTTTTTTTTTTTTTTTTTTTTTTTTTTTTTTCTAAAATGGGAACACTGAGGGATTAAATCTCTTACGAAGCTTTAATAATTCGTATTTTTGCAAAACATTATGACCAATTAGTTTTTGAGAGAAATAACAATCTTTCTTTGTTATTTTACGGTTGGTATGTTTGGTTGGAGCCATAGCACCAGCTCTACCGCCTACAACAGAGGTAGAACCAGTTGAACCACCAGTTGAAGGGTCAATATCCATTGGAATAGCTGTACCATCTTTATTGTAAAGTGAAGATAACCCAGCATATCCGCCAGAAGCTTGTTGATTAACCTTTTCGTTATATTGTCTTAATAGATTATCATAAGTTTCTTTTAATTGTTGATATTGAGACTCTTGATCTGGTGTGAGTGGTTTACCTTCTTTGAGAAGCTGTTGGAAACTAACCAATTGAGAGTTTGGAATTGGTGGTGCAATATTAGCATTTTGATTTAAACCAAGAAGGAAACTAGACTTCATCATTGGTTGGATTGGCTTTCTCTTACCAATATTACCAACAGCAGCCAAAGCAGTTGAATTTGCTGCGATAGTCCTCTCCTTTTCTTCGAGGATTTGGAGCTTGGCCATTCTTGAAGCGCTATTAGCAGAGTTTTTATCGTCTGCAATCGATTTCTTTTTTGTTTGTAAATGCTCTTTTGATTCTTTTAATAATTTCTCTTGTTCTTCGTTTTCTTTTTTCATCTTTTCATCTTTTTCTCTCTTTTCGATTGCTAATAATTGTTTTTTTGCGTCTGAAGTTTGAGTAACTGGCAAGTCCTCTTTTTGCATTTCGACTCTTTGTTTTGATGTATTTATTAAATATTCTAAAATGGTTCTAAGGTGATCTTGTGTTGCTAATGAAATAAATTCTAAAAGATTTTCCTCACTTAACTTTAATCCATGTTTAGATGCAATTGTTAAAACTTTCTTTTTTAATGGATATGAATTTAAAAACAATGGTTCAGTTTCTGGAGTATATAACTCTTCATTTTCGTTGGTTTCTGGTAAAAAGTGATCTGATTCATTCTTTTTAAGAAAACATTAGTAAACATTCATCATTAATTTAAATTTTGAAAAAAAAAAAAAAAAAAAACTTACTTTCATATCAATATTTGCAATTTTTGTAACATCATTTAAATCTTTAATATTTTGTTTATCATCTTCGTTATCAGCGTCTTTTTGTTCTTTATCTTGTTGTTGTTGTGCTTGTTGTTGTAATTTTCTTTCTTCTTTTTCCTTTCTTTCCTGAGCCTTCTTATCTTCTTTTTCCTTCTTTCTCTTTTCTCTTTCGAGTTTATTTTGTTCTTTCTTTTGCTCTCTTGTTAATTGAGGTGTAGAATTGAGTGCTGCAGGAGTAGTTCCCGGTGCTGATGGGTTAACACTTGGTTTTGTGGTTGAAGCTTCTCTTTTTGGTTGGGTTTGTTGTTCACGTATTTTTTGATACTCGATAGTCATCCTTCTCAACTCTTCAGTTTTCTTTAAAATTGCTTCTAAATCAAAATCTTTGGGTAAAGCTGGTACTTTTTCTGTTGGAATATCATCGATCTTCTTGGCGTAGTTTTGAGCGTTTGTAGCACCAAAAAGCATTACCAAATGCTCCATTAAAACATCCTTTTCAATTTTAGCATTTCTATAAGCCAATGCTAATGCATTAAAATGATTTTGAACTTTTGATTGGATATCATTAGTTTGTGTGGATGCAGCAGTTTTGTTTTGTTGTTGTTGTTGTTGTACCTGTTGAATTTGTTGTTGGATGCTAGACACACTACCAGGAGTGGAAGCAATTGATCCAGGAGTTGGTTGTGAAACTGGTGCTGTGGAAGGTGAAGATATACTTGATGGAATTGGTAATTTTGCTTGTGCTTGTGGTGGTTTTACTGTAGTGGTTGTTGGAGTTGAAACCTGTTGTGTTGGAGTGGATACCTGTTGTGTTGGGGTTGGTGGTTGAACAGATTGTGGTGTTTGAGGTGTTTGTGGTTGTGATTGTGGTTGAGTTACTGTTGCTGCTACCTGCTGTTGAATAGATTGCGGTGCATGCTGTGGTTGTGTTTGTTGTGACTGTAATTGAGATGGAATAGAAGAAGTGGTTTGTGATGGTTGCTGAATATTACCAGCTTGAGTGTATTGCATTGGTTGATGTGATGTTTGTTGTGTATTTTGTTGTGAAGGTATTTGTTGTTGTTGAGCTGCCTGTTGAGCTGCTTGTTGTTGTAAAAGCTGTTGTCTTTGTAAAACCATTTGTTGATATTGTTGTTGTGAAATAGTTACTTGTTTTCCATTTAATGTAATTGTGGCTGTTGGTCCAACATGTTGACCAGTTTGATTTGGTAATGGATTTGGTGATCCTGCAGGTCTTGCAGCTTGTTTGCTTAAAGCCTGCATCATTGCAGCTTGTTGTGCTTGTGTAAGTTGTTGTGGCTGACCAGGTTGTGATGCCATTGGTTTCATTTGAATGGAAATTTGTTGTTGACCAGCTTGTGGGTTTGATGAATTTGGCATATAAGCCATTGGTTTTTGATTTGGTGGTTGGGGTTGTGTTTGTTGATGTTGTTGTTGCTGTGGCTGTTGCTGTGGCTGTTGCTGTGGCTGTTGGTGTTGTGCATTTTGGACTGTTTGACCTGGTTGGGCAGTTTGGCCAGGCTGCATAAGTTTTTGTTGAGCTTGTTGAGCTTGCTGTGCTTGAATCGTTCTGAGATATGCTTGCTGTGCCTCTTGGTTTGGTAATGAAAGATATTGTTGTTGTTGGGCTTGAGTTAATGTAATTACAATTCTTTTTTGAGTTGGTTGTGTAGGTCTAGCAGGTACCTGTCCAGTTGGTTGAGGTTGTGGTTGGCCAGCTTGTGGCTTTGATTGCATATGAGTTTGTGGTTGTTGAATATGCTGTTGCTGAGGTTGTTGTGGCTGTGTTTGTTGTTG